TCACACTCTCTCTGTTTTTCTCTTTCTTAAGCTTACACACACACACACACACACACACACACTCTCTCTCTCTCTGTCTCTCTCTCTCTCTCTCTCTCTCTCCCTCATGCTCCTGTGTGGTGTCAATACTGCATACATTATGGAAGCCTGTGTTGCATAACAGATGGCCTATGAGAAGAAGAGAGGTGCATAGAAAGCAAAATAGTGAGGAGGAAGGGAAGGTAGAAAGAGAAAGAAGTAAAATATAACCATTAAACCTTTCTGATTATTTTATTTCACCTCACATAACGATTAGTGTCATTTCATTAACAGGAGAGATGCTCTGTGTTTAAAGGTTATACTGACATAGGTTTGAATTAGCTCCTTGTAAAATAAGAGAAGAGAATGGAGGGAAGGAGAGATGGACATCAGCATTCTTAGCAGATCATCCACAGCAGAAAGGTGATGTGTGTGTGCGTGTGTGTGTGTGTGTGTGTGTATGTGTGTGTTTGACGTATGAGCAGCTTACCATCACCCATAACATTAGAGGACACAGTGTCCTCTGTTTGGCATACCCATAATTCATTCTGTGTGGGGCCGTCATGGGGATGCTAACGACATTGAGCCAATCCCTTACTGTTTCTGCCCTGCTACTGCTTCTCTCATTAACACACACTCACAGTTTTTGTCAGTCTGTATATGAGGAATAACAATAGTGCACTGAAAAAACTGATCCACTAAATTGACTGATTCAAATGTGTGTCATTTATGCATAATTACACATATATTCATATTAGTGCTGTCAAAGTTAACATTAATAACACGTTAACACAACAAATTATTAATAATACTAATTTTTATCTTTGTTACCGCATTTTACAAGTTTGATCCTTCAAACCATAGTTCAAGCCTAAAGCCCAGCTGCTTGCACGATGTTGCTGTGACTCCATGTCCGTCTCCTGTTGACATCGCTTTTAATGACAGCTTTTAAATGGCATGCTCCACCGATGGCTTTTTTAATAAAACCAAACTTATTTCCAGTCACTGCCATGATGAATTTGATTTTTACCAAAGGACATTGAGTCTTGAGTAAGCAAAACACAGCACTGAAGCCAGCAATACCAGTAATATCAGTAATGTTAGAACAAGAGGACGCCTTCAGCAGACTATGCTGGACAATGCCCGCAGGAGAACTATGGATAAATCAACCAGCAGCAAACTAACCAAAGCAACAGGAAAGTGGAAATCTACAGTTACCCTTGAAACAAGATGTAGCAGTATGAGAGGCACACAGTCACAGAGGAGTTGCCACTGTGGCTCTCACTAGATGTTGCAGATGAAAATTGGAAACTGTATTTACCCTACGGAAATCATGATTTCATGTTCAGGTTTATGTGGACCCTGGGTTCAGATGATGAAAATAATGTAATTGAATTATGGAAACTAATTAAGAAACCTATTTTGTCAACTCTTGTAGCTATAACCATTTTTTAAATGGAAAAAAGATCTTTGTTTAAAGTCAAATAAGAGAAATGGAGCTAGTCACCATTAACTACTCAAACCAATGCAGTTAATTGCAGGCAATTATTTTAATCATTTGACAGCCCTAATTAATATACATCAGATATATCAATATGCTTCTTGCCTGAAGGAAGTAAACTGAAAGACAAAATTCATCCATTTAGAAATAACACATTTAAATCAAGTAAACTTAATCCCTTCCTTTTAATCATCCCAAAAGGAAAGCATTAAGAGGAAGGGAAGCTGGGCTTTGAAGGATGAACTGGAAGGGATTGTAGAGAGAGTTCCATTATATAGTAATGCAGAGACAGCGAAGCTAAAAGATTGGTCCTCAGCAGTCATCTAATTTTAGGGATAACAAATCAACCCTTTAAACCATAAGGCTCTGCATGCGGTTCCCCACTTCAGTTTCTCACTCTCAGAAATTCATATTGTTGCTGTCAGAATAAAACTTTGTATCTCATAAATGGTAACGTTACAGGGGAAGGAAAAAAACAGTCGTAACTTTTAATGGAAGTTAATGTTTCCATCAATCCATTTATCGTGAAATAGACAGCTGGCATTTCAAAATATGTTAAAAAGACAAGAATATAAATACAAGGTTTTATTTTGTTCTGACGATATGTTACATATTAGTTTCATAGTATGCACTGAGGTGTTAATAATTATTCATATAATTAGGCTTAGGAACAATAATTTGATACTAGACCTAGGGTTCAAGTGGTTAATACATTAGAGCTTCATATTTTTTTTCTGATGCACCTATATACGTCTTTTTGACATCCGTCCAACAGCATCACTGTATGCGTGTATAATACTGGACACCACCTTCCCTTTCCCTCCCTTTTTCTTTCCCTGAGAGCTGAGGTCATTCAGGGTTCACAGGTGTCATATCATAAGTCTTGCTGCAGCTCTTTCATAACATTCTGTAAGCATTTTCACTGACATTTCGCTCTGCATGTTAGTCAGGTATTAGATCTGTCTGTTCTGTCCCATTAAGCCTTTACTTCACTAGCTTTACCCTGCATGTTCAGAAGAAAAGGGGCCAATGTCATCATCCCTGTCCAACACATACAGATTACTGTAGTAACATTTTATGTCATTTTATCTAATTCCTTCTCGTCAGCCCGACCTATTTTTAAACCGTTTGTAGTTTTGAAATCCCCCTCCCTTCTCAGAAATGTGTAATATGTTGGAACAATGATGGGATTTCAGCCCTTCTGCCTCTTAAGTCATCCAAAAACACTGAAGCACTGGGATTTGTACCTCCTCTCTATTGATTGATTCAGTGAGCTGGATAAGCCAGAGTGGAGAAGTGGAGAGGAGACGGTGGAGAGGAAGGGAAAAAGGAATAAATCTGTAAACTACTCTTCAGTTTTCCCTCTTTTGGCCTTTGAGTTGCTCCAACTGTAACACTATGCTCATCTCTAGGTGTCTTGTGTTGGTGTCATAAGAAGCAACATTTTATTTTTACACACAGTACTGTGCACCTAGTGGAAGGTGACTGTAGATACTGGGCTTCCTTGTGTAGAGGTTTGAATCGTTCACCAAATGCATTGACAGATATGGTCATACGCAAATGTTTAAACATCCAGGGTCAAATTACGTCTTGTTGATTTTCTATGTGAAAATAAGTACATATCCTTTACAGAGAACACATTTAAATATGGCACATATAAGTGCAAAATTTCTCTTCATTTGCTGAAAAGAAATTATGCACTGAAAATAAAATATATATATATATATATAAAATGTGCCTTAACTTTTGCACAGACCATATTTTTTCCCAATAAAATGTAACATTAAGCAAATAAACAGTAATTGTGCCTTAAAATGCAAATATGTGTGAACTTATTTCCACAAAACAAAGTTTTACAAATCAGCAAAGCATGTCATTTTACCACTGGTGCCCAAAATTTTGCAGATGAGTTTGTAAACAAATAATTGCTTACTAGCCAGATAAATGGCTTGTTGGTTGTTCTTTAAACTGTGTAAACATTTCGTAGTGAATGGATCAACAGAAATGTTCCAGCAGTAATGAGAACAAAATCTTGTTACATTAACAGATGATTTTTTTCCTATCTTCTATATAGATACATTACATTACAATGCAATGTATTTTGTATGTATTTTGTTGCTTTCTAATATAGTCAGCTTTACGTTGGCATTACTACCACCAAACCGTCTCCCTCTGTGTATACAGTATAGGGTAGCGTGCCCAATGCATATCAGTAAAACCAATAATTGATATGATCCTACCTCTTATCATGTTAGTGAAATTTACTGAAACTGTTTTGAAAAATCTTTTGTAGTGATGTCTCCCAAGAGACACTGTAGGTCTGCCCTTTGGATTTTGTTATGTTAACAAGTACTATTATTCTGATGTTTCACTCTTTGTTGCCTTCATGAGAAGTTTAATATTTAGAACTTGTAAAGCGTTTCAGCACTTTAGTCGCTCAATATGTAGTCATTTTAGCCATTAGCCTGCATCTATAGCTTAATGCTTAGTGAATAACTTTTCATAACGTCCTTTTCCCTGTGATTTTACACCATGCTGTCTGAGTTAGCACTATGTGCTCTATTAACGTAAATGTTAGCGTTCACTCGTGACTCATGTGTGAGTCAGACTCCATCGGTCTCTCTGAGTGAGGGCTATTTTTAGACCACTCACAAATGGTGGCCAGCCACAGTGCCACACGTTTACTCTAATAAAAAGCTGTTATCTAAACAGAGCAGGGGTGTACAAAGTACAGAGAAACTATCTATAAGTGAAAATATGGGTACTAGATATTGATGTGATACCACTTTTGCTTTTCCCATACTGACATTGACATTGAAACCTTAAGTGTTTCAATCCGATATTTCTTGCTTAAAAACCACTAAGCTTTAAAATGACCTATTTTCAGTTCACTTAAGATGAGCATCTATCATAAAGAGACTACTCAAACACTACACCCCACAGGAACAACAACAGCTAACAAGACAATGTCAATATGTGCTATATGAGACTAGATTTGTTACAGGATTGGATCTGATTAATTCTTTTATTTGAGTGGGATTTTGACACAGCACCAATTAGAGATGGCATCAGTATCGATGGGCATTGTTATTGGGCTGATGTCAGCAGAAAATGCTGAACCATATATCAGAGAGAATAACAAAATCAAATTTGATACAGTACCCCAGGTCTTTGAGATTTGTAATGAGTATTTTGGAGATCTAAACACAAATGTAAGGAGTAAGAAGTATGTTCTTACTCTTGGAAATGTAACTAAGTAAGAATATTCAATTTCAATAATTTTTGAGAAAAGGACAAAAACTAATAATACTAAATATGTTAATGAAGTAAAATTGCTAAGTATTTTCCACCTCTGAAACAGAGATGCTACTGTTGCAAACTGCTGTGTTGTTTAGTGTTTTCTAGCCCAAAGAGCTTGAAGTGTCTTTACAGGTCCTTACCATCTTCTTTCTGTGTTTTCTTTTCCATCCACCGTGAGCAGACAAAACCCGTAGCGTTTGCTGTTCGGACAAACGTCAGCTACAGCCCTTCCCTCGAAGATGACGTCCCTGTGCCTGGAATGGCCGTCTCTTTTGATGCTAAAGATTTTCTTCATGTAAAAGAGGTCAGTTATAAGCACACATACACACTCAGTTAATTAATTCACTCAGTTAATTAATTACACACATAATGTTAATTAAATGTATTGCTAATATTGAGCTGTAGTATGAAGTGTTGAAGATATAATGATGATGATGGTATGTTGTCTCGCTGTGTGTGCATTTCAGAAGTTTAATAATGACTGGTGGATTGGCCGCTTGGTGAAGGAAGGCTGTGAGATCGGCTTCATCCCCAGTCCAGTGAAGTTAGAAAACACGCGCATCCACCAGGAGCAACGAGCCAAACAGGGAAAATTCCACTCCAGGTGTGCACATACTCTTATAATAGGGATGTGACAACGCATAGAATTTAAAATTTGATTTGATACGATACTATGGTGTCTCGATACGATATATTTTATGATACACTAAAAATACAGAGTGCCTGTGTGTGTGCCTTATGTTGATATGTTAATGTTAATATGTTAATGTTTGCACCAGATGTTCAGTTAAATTGAGCAATAAAAGTAGAATTTAGCATAAGCCCTGCCCTCTACCCGTCCACTTTACTGTGATAGGCAGCACACAGATGATAAATATTAAATAAATAAGAAACCCTCAGAAGAGAAGGGGACAGAAGCAGTATTAAGTTTCAATACACTGTTTCCATTTATTTTGATATGTATTAATATTGTTACACTTTTAATTCATACACAGGCATATGACAAGTTGTCTTACAAAGATGACAGAATACAGAACAGTCTCTCTCTCTCTCTCTCTCCCTCTCTCTACCTCGCTGTCTCTCTCTCTCTCTCTCTTTGTAGTAAATCAGGGGCAAACTCCTCGTCTAGTTTAGGGGAAGTGGCTCCAAACTCTCGGAAGTCTACTCCTCCGTCCTCAGGTTAGTTACCACTCTGGTTCATTTCAGCACTGAGGAAAAAAAAAAACATATCATTGTCTAATATAACATAAAACCTTGCTGGATCAAAATTATATTACAATTCTTATCAATTCCTGAATGGTAAAAATTTGTATATTAAAACATGATTTGAATTATGCTGTGACTATGCTGTGATCAAACACACTTCTTTGGACCTGAGTTACAGTAAGCTGCTCACTCTCAAGTACCCTCGCAGGCTAGCCTAACTTTTCACACTTTTATTTAATGTAAACTTCAATAATTTAGACTAGGAATGCAGTAGACTTGTGGCTAAACTGAAATTAAATGAAGAATATGTGATACGTGTGGCACTTTGATTTTTCAAAAGAGAGAGAGAGTAGTTCAACCTGTCACTTTGGCAAGTAGAAGCTTTGGCAACCTGTAAGCAGGAGGACCATAAGCATCACTGCTGTATTGTTTTTAGGAATAGGTTTTGAAAGTTACATTTAAAACCAGGAGTGGTTTTCATTGTGTTTCAACATTTTGAGCAACTTTAGTTTGATATTAGCATGCATGCTAAAATTTCTTTCCAAATTCCATACGGTTTAATTCTCTATATTATCGCTGTCATATCAAAACTTTTTTACACTATTTCAAATTCAGCTGCCCTTCACATTGTATGAGCATTTCATAATAAATGGATCAGTTGAAATGGTCCAAATTATTTAGATCATCTTGTTGAAGGAACTTGCATTAATCTCTTTTTAACATTTTTTACATGAGTTGTAGACGATTTTTTGATATGAGGATGGTACAGTTATGCTCTCTGTTTTTTCTCAGCTTGGCCACCTTTGTGGAGAGGTGTGAAATGTTTTCACAGCAGGGGGTTCTCACCCCTCTCACCCCTCGTTGCTCGCTAACAGCTCATCACAGAGCCACAACCTTACACACAGAGAATCCAACAGTGGCCTGATTAATATAATGAAGTGTTACGAGAAAAAATGTATTCAATTGAATTATTCGACAGTATTGCAGTTGATTTCCATTCCACCAGTAGAATAGCTGTTAGGGGGCCTACAGAAAGCAGGTTTCCTGCTTAAGTTAGCTTTCTGGAGACACACAGTTTTGTTATGACAGCGAAAAATGCTTTTGTTACAATATGAATAAGAACTTATTGTGATTACTGATTATTTGATTTGTGATATATTTTTTCCTTTTGTGCGTTCCTTGTTTGGTTCTCCGAGCCCCATATGTAACTGTGTATGTGTGTATATGTCTGTGTGTAGCCGTGGATATAGACGCTGCGGGTTTAGAGCCGGAGGAGCCCGACCCTCCTCCCCAGCAGCGTTCTCCTAAAGCCAGCCCAAACACAGTCATATCCCCTTTAGCCCGCGAGAAACGAATGCCCTTCTTTAAGAAGGTAACCACAGCGACGGGCCCTCCCCTACTCTGCACTCATCCGTATGGCTGTTTTATTGCACCTGCCGCTGTGCAGCATCACGCAGTGTCTGTCCGTCCGTCTGTCTATGTGGCGTCTTTGTCTGTATGTCCACGCAAGAGCCATAAAGCATGCTTGCTTGGTCTTAATCACCTGTTATCTTTCCCCTTCCTCTGCTGTTTTCTCTCTCTCTTTCTTTCTTTCCTCTACACTGTGCCTCTTTCTTTGTATCTTTCTTTCCTTCTCTTCCTTTTTCTCCCTTCTCTCTTTCACTAAATCTTTTCACTTCCTCTCTTCTGTCTCTCTCTATCCCTCCCTCCCTCCCTCTCTCTCATCTCCTTAGCTAAACAGAAGCAGAAGTCGGTAAGTTAGGTCTGCTCTGAGGCCCTACAGGTGTCTCCTAAAGCCTTTAGGGCCCACTGGAGTTTCTGCCTTGCTGTGTGTTTCCTCCCTTCTCACTAACAGTTCTCAGTAACTCAGCTTGGCTTTAACCTGTATGTGTGTCTGTGTGTGTCTGTGTGTGTGTGTGTGCGTGTATTACAATGAATGGGAACTTATGGCCATTTTATTTTCTCGGTAGACCTCGGCAGACCCAAAGAGACCTTTGCTCACAGATGTATTTATTCTAAGCAGTACTTGCAAGGTTGGGTAAGCTTCCAATAATCCCAGTGAACCTACTGGGAAAATATGGTACACAATTTAGTTTTCATCAAAATGCCTACATTTGGAAAGCATTAATAATTTTAGCTAACAGTTTGTGTAGCTGGTCACACTGTTAGGAAAGAATGTCATTTTTCTGTTGTCTCAGAAAAATCAAAAGTAATCCAAAAGTTTAGTTTGTTTACACGGTCACCACAGTGCATGTTTTTCAAGCCATCATTCATTAAATGTTAAGCCATTTATCTACTGAATGCTAAATGTCAAAACAGTGCTGCTAACTAGGACAGATGAGCTGGTTAGCCTTTGCTTAGCTATCATAATAATAGCTCTGTTATGAACAGAACATGTTTATTTCTGGCTAAAGCACTGGCACAAGTTTAGATGGTAATAATTCAGCTCTGAGGGAGTAACGTCAAGCAACTGAAAGGATAAATTAAACCTGTTCCTTAATGTTTGGATCTGTGCCTGATTGGCTAATGTTAGCTTAGCAAGCAGGCTACAAACCCAAACAGTGCCACATGCCACAGGTTTAATTCTGACTAACTTGCTCTCTGCTGAAACAAGTGTAGATGATAAAAAAGTAACGTTTGAGAGAGCAAAACCAGTCAAGTGACTGGTGCAGGAGTGACAGAAAGCCAAAAATGAACTTGTTTTGTGGTGTTTGGGACTGTAGTGTATCTATTCTCTGTTCTCAGTAGCGGCTTCTTGACAGCTAAACATCCTTTCAGACCCATAGAGTTGAGTTGTCTTCTCACACTGGAGGGACAGACAGAAGCATCTGCGGAATTTTTCAGATCTGAAGCAAGAGTGGAGCTTGATTTTCTCCTCTCTCTAACCATTGAAAGCTTTAAACACTGTTTATCTGTTGGTGACAGTGTTGGTGGTCTGCCAGGTTGCTAGGAGTCCCATTTTTTCTGTATCTTTTAATAATTTTAACTCCAGTTTTGGAATCTTTCTCCATCCTTAATGCAAGGGGATTAACTTATATTTAATCTCCTCAGAAATATCTTCTAAAAAACGTAACAGCCATTTTGACTAGAAATTAAATAAATGAAGGGTGGTCTTTGACTTTTGCATAGTAATATAAAACAGCACCATTTATTAAAAAAAACATTGTGATGTTCACAGAACAATTTTGGACTGTTATGTTGCTTCACTGTTATAGCCTACTGTTAAAGAACCACATAGTTTAGTGAAATAATTGTTTACTGACATTTTTATTATATATTCAGAGTATATGCCCTTAACTGTGGTAAAATCACTGTACTGCTTGGCTCTCTTTGCTTATTATTTTACTTGACAACTCACTTTGGCAACTTAAGTTCCCATTCAAAATGCATCTGTGCTATATTCTGTTAACATTGTAGCTCATGGTGTTGTTGGACTGTTTTCTGTTGGACTCACATGTTTTTATAGTACTTAAATGTGTGAGAAATTGAATGTAGTGGTCAGCAGTCCTGTATTACATCTCTTTTAGAACACCTTGTTGTGTTTATTTGTTGAAAAATATAACTCATCACCTCTTCTGAAGAATTGCTAAGTTGAATGTAATGCAGTAATGAAGCAAGATCAACCAACGCACTCTGAAATAAGAGCTGTTCTCATTTACATCATTATTATTAGACTAAAACCATAATAATGTATTCATAATTGTTTCACAATTATGTGACATCTAATCCTACAAGTCTATCTCTGGTACGAGCTCAAGGTTTTTTACAGATAACGATGTCAGTCTCAGCCTGTTAATTATTCTGATCCAGTTATGAGACGCCAAAATTAATTTGTAATTGCAACCAAAGAGGAAATTCAGTCAGATGATAATGAATGTCAATTAGATGTTACAGACATGTTGCTTTTAACTGATAATGAATGTGAATGAGGCGTGGAATTGTTGCTTCATTGTATACATATTTTCCCTCAGGGCACATAAATAAAGGAGACTTGCTGGCCAGTGGAAGTTTATGTTGTTCTTGTGCCTCCTGCAAAATATACTTGAGATAAACTGTTATTTTTGACCTTAACAGCAAAACTGTTCAATCAAAAAAGTATCCAGTGGTTAAATCCAACAACCAGCATAGTTTACAAGTCTGAAGAACTGCATTTGTTCACCTTTTAACAGAAACATCTTATTATGTTTTATTATGAATTAAAGTAAACATGCTTCTGTCAGATTTAATCACTGGAAAAAATGAAAAATGTAAAAAAAAAACTTTCTAGAGCATTTTTATACTTGTACTTTTTGGCCCCACTATATATTAAGTGTCTTTAATAACTGTGTAGTTACACATGAATAACACATGCAACAACACTGTAACTATTGATGATTTAGTCAGTGTTACAAATGGATTACATAAATATAGACTATGTAATTCCACGTGTATCAACTTCAGTTTTGTCTCATGTAATTACACAAGTGTATCTTTTTGATAAACTACAGATCAGAAGTCTTTTCCAGCAACAAACGTAAGTAACCTAATCACATCACATTGATTAGTACCATTCTGTAATTACACTGTACCTTTATAACAACTACACAGGAACTTTCCTGTAGTGTAGTGTTAAAGTTACACTTTATAATAAGTGGACAGTTCCTGTGTAGTTGCTATATAGGTGCTGTGTAATAATGGAGTGGTAATCTAGATACACTTGATACACTCGTGTAATTACCTGAGGCAAAACTGAAGTTGATACACATGTGTAATTACATAAAGTGTACTTCTGTAATCCATCTGTAACAGTGACTAAATCATTAGTAGTTACATTGTTGTTGCATATGTTGTTCACATGTAACTACACAGTTATTAGAGACACTTAATATAAAGTAGGACTTACTTTTTTACACTTTCTAGAGCATTCCCTTTGGAGCATTTATGCTGTGTTTCTGTATGATTCTTTAGCGGTGGTTTTCCGTTGCAGTGCTTGATCATTTTTCATTTTTCCTACTATAATACACATGATTCAACTCTACTTAGGGGTGGGCAATATATATATATGGAAAATTGTGTAAAAATAATTATTTTCTGAGCACATTGTGGATATCATTACTTAAACAGCACTGACCAACTGCATGTTTAATTACAAAGAGAGCATGATTAGACCTGTTTAACTGGATTTTAGTGCAGTCCACTAATGAATAAAAATCATTGTGCTCATAGTTTTTAACAGTATTTTTTTCAAATGTGGCTCCACTATTAGTTTTAATCTATTCGAGCTTATCAAACCTGAAAAAATAATAAACATCATGGTGCTTAGTATCATGTGAATGTCTATCACCCCCACCCCAACTCCACAACAAATTATGAAGCCCTTCATGCTTGAGTCATGTGTGTTAAGAGCAGGGAAAACACAAAACAGAGTGGAGTGGGACTGGAAACCGCTGTTATATTGTGTGTGTGTGTTTGTTTAGTAACAGTGAATGTGATAGTTTATGTAAGTGTCTCATGTGGTGCCGTGGGTTTGGCGGAGTCATGGGGGGAGTGTGGGAGAGAGAGAAAATGACGTGTGTTTTCCCGCACTCTGCAGACGGAGCACATCCCCCCATATGACGTTGTGCCCTCCATGAGGCCGGTGGTCCTGGTGGGACCCTCGCTCAAGGGCTATGAGGTCAGCCTCTCCAACAATGACTATAAATCAGCCGTCATAAATCTGCACTGAATCAGGTCTTTGGCAGTGGGATTTTCACTGACTCTATGGAATGTTTTGAGATTTTCCTGGCCACATCCTGATTCTTGGTCCTTGCTTGGCACTCATATTTGATGAACTGTATCTAATCAAAAATGTCTCTTAATTCATCAAACATCTTCATTTTTAACGTTTTTAATTTTTTGACATACAATACCAACTGACCTTTACACTGTGTCAAACTTTTATGATTAATGGACCAATAGAAATGTTTCTTGGAATGAATGATTTCTGCATTACCTTCCATTTTTCCATTTAATTAGTTAAAACTATTCTTTAATTAAAATTAAAATTACCATTTTGGAAATACGAGGTTTTGTTTTGAAAGTGATGGGTACATCATTTCCACATGAATAAAATACATTGCACCAACAAAATGTTGTCGTTCAATTAAGTTTGGTAAACTGCAATTTTCAGTTGAATTCTGTTTGTTTTACAGGTAACGGACATGATGCAGAAAGCATTATTTGACTTTCTGAAGCACAGATTTGAGGGAAGGTAAGAGCCTCTGAAAGTCCCTGTCTGTGTCTCTCTGGCAGCCTCGTCAGTCCTCCTTTGGGGTAGTTTATGTATTAGCGTGTGTGCGGAGCTACTTTAAATAGTCTCGTCTCATTGCCTTAATTGGCCATGCTGGACCATAAGCACAAAGCTGGTCTGCATGCCTGCGCTTTCTCTGAGCTGGAGCATTCCCAGAGCAGGACCAGTCCCTCTTCCCACTGCACTACCCTGAAAACACACACAGCTGTGTGGTGCAGCGTATCAAATTATGACCATAGTGTATATTTTGGTGACTTTCTAATGTAGTAATAATGCAAATGCAAAACATCATTGTCTGGTTTCCTTTGCAATTTATTTATGTACTTGGTTGGCATGAATGTATATTGCAGTATCACTTTTTTCCTGTTGTTATTTGTAGGAAGCCAATTTTTTAAAATATCCTCACTTGCCCCTCTCTCTCTCTCTCTCTCTCTCTCTCTCTCTCTCTCTCTCTCTCTCTCTCTCTCCCTCTCTCTCTTTCTCTCTCTCTCTCTCTCTCTCTCTCTCTCTCTTTAGGATATCCATCACACGGGTGACAGCCGACATTTCTCTGGCCAAGCGGTCTGTTCTGAATAACCCCAGTAAACACGCCATCATTGAACGATCCAACACGCGCTCCAACCTTGGTGAGTGCATTTCTGTTATGAGTGTATATAAGTGTGGTGTTGAACACTGTGGTATCAGATATTTAAATTTCAATTAATACAAATAATTAAATCATGCTGCCTGAAATTACACCAACGAGAACCTTACGAATTTTTTAAAACCACATTTCCAGAAAGGGAACGTACGGTTTATGTAGTTTTTATGTATTTCACTTGCTTCTAGGAACTACTTCAATAAAAAACTCTTTTTAAATTAAAAAACTTTTTTTAACCTATACTTATTTTCAAAAGGCTCCTTGTTGTTTTAACTAGAAAAACCCTTTCATATAAACAGAATATTGCAGTTTAGTGACCAAATTTTGAGCCAAATTTCATGATTCACTGACTCCATGCTACATTTCTAGTGAGTCTAAAGATATATCGAAGATATATTGAATAATCGTTATTATTTTACTAGCTTTTAAGAAATACTTCAAAGAAAACTCTTGAATAACTTCAGTTCCCAAACTTTTTTTAAATCCAGGACTGTACCTTTATTTATTTCTGAAAGGCTCCTTGTTGTCATGGTACGCAGAGCGACCACTGCTAGCAAAAATGTAATGAACCCAGGTGCACGGAAGGGCATACACACGTTTTTATTTTTTACACCATTAGAAAGGGATATTCATATTTCATCTTGAGTGGACCAATAGAAGTGGTCCAAAATTACACAAACCTCTTTAAGTTAACATCCATGAAAGTTACTGAATTCTTTTGTTTCTTCTGCAAAGTAGATACAACGTTTTGACAGTAAAGCTAATATCACATTCCCCTCACCATGTGAAGAATACTGTGGCCAGGGGTCACGAGGAGGGTGCAGGATTTTAGATAGTATGTGTGTGTGTGTGTGTGTGTGAGAGAGAGAGAGAGAGAGAGAGAGAGAGAGAGAGAGAGAGAGAGAGATGGAGAGAGCAGGAAGCTCGTTATGATTGTTAGTTTGGCTTGATTAACGAGGCATGATTAAGATCAAAGACATTCTTACAGCATGACCTCCTGATTGCACTGCTGTTAATCTCTTGTACAATCACCATTCAACACACACACACACACACACAGTGCACACACACATGCTTACTCACGAACCTGCAACCTGCAGATTCAGTTTATTTCAGCTTTATTTACACAGTTGATATGTGTTTGTTAAATAGAAGTTGACACAAAGCTGCTAAACAGAGACCCAGGACCACTCTTATTGAGCTGACTAATAGTCACACAAAACAAGATATTAAAATTTTAAAATGGCATCGACGAAAGTTTAATTAAAGCAATGGTTTGCAAAATTACCTGGACCACCCTACCCCAAACCCCCTACCGGCAGTAATGCAGTCAATCAGCCAAGATATGTTTGGTGTCTGAAGTTTACTTCTTTAGTTTTTTACTGGAGCTATGAGACTGATGTAGCTAACATGTAATGGAAGCTTCTACCCCACCAGTTAGCATTGTGCAAACAGCATGCCTAAATCATCACACAGTTGGCCTCTAATCACAGTAGGCTGTTAAAGTCATCGTGAACGGGAAATCATAACACATTTTTTTTCTGTAAAATGATGTAAGAAAAACTCGGTATTAGGGAGGGCCTCTGAGCCTGCTGAGCCTTTTCACATAGTGGTTGGGTGGTGGGAACGGGAGTTAAAAATTATATTACTGGTTAGCTTATTTATTTTTCCCCACTTGCCAAAGCACAATAACGTAATCAAAACTCAAACGGTGTTTTAGAGGCAGGCAAAATCATTACAGGAAAACAAAAAAAAAAAGATCTTTTAAATGATATGAATTTTGTCTTTTATTTTGGCTTAAAATGACCAGGGTTGTGAACTAACAGAAGTTAGTAAACCCACATTCTTACTGCCCTTCTTTGTGCACTTCTGTGTTAGCTGAGGTACAGAGTGAGATTGAGAGGATTTTTGAGCTGGCGCGGACGCTGCAGTTGGTGGTCCTAGATGCTGACACTATAAACCATCCAGCTCAACTGGGCAAAACCTCACTCGCTCCGATCATCGTCTATGTCAAGATCTCCTCTCCAAAGGTACACAAAAACACACAGATCATATACATTTTGTCACTCTTTTGGTTTTCTCTCACTCCTTACACCACCACATGGGTCTGTGAGAGTGTTTCAGTGTGTATAATGCATAACTGTGACCTTGTACAGTATGATAGCTCAGACAGAAATAGTACACAAGAGAAACACAAAATACTTCACTCGTATTATACCCTGTAGTGATATAATACCACATTTCTCTCTCTTTCTCTAAAGTTAAAAATTATGTTGGTAAATCAGACGTCAGACATGTTGTCATATACACAGCATAACAATGAACAATGAAATGCTGAACATGTGGACAAGACTCCACATAACTGCCCATATCTTACTAACACCCATAAAAAGAACAGTTTAAAAAAATGAAATAAATAGCAGTTAAAATCTCCCTCACTCAGTGTGTAGAATTGTGAAGAATATCATGACCCTTAAATATATTACACACAGACAATGAAACCCCCTAAAATACAACTAAGAGTCCATAACAATAATATTGCAGATAATCCATAAAAATGAAGAATAATGAAGTGTAATAATTACAACAGTTACAATTACAATTACTGCCAAAGTTGTTGTCAAATTATAGGAAGGGTGGGGAAAAAATACATCACGACACATAAAGAAATGTTGAGGATACACAATACATGTCACGATATTTTGACATATAGACTCTGTACTAGTAGCCACATTTAAAAACTGCCATGAAAAACTATCAATACAGTGATTGTTATCTAATAGTTTACATACCATGCCGTACTAAACCCAGTTTAACAGAAATAATTGTGCTCTCTTCGTAAGGAAACATGCACTGATGACGTTTAGAAATGCCTATTGTGTCACGATAACAGAAGTTAGCATGATAACGATAAAATATTGTCAAGTTGCCCACCCCTGCATTATAGCATGTTATGATAAATATCACATATATAGTGCTTACATTTTCAGCAACCACAACTTAAAACATCTTCCCACCTACTTGCCATTATTTATTTCTCTGGAACTGAAGCTAAAGAGGTATATTGGTTTTGCTGTCATGATGATACTGATGCTGTATATGTGTTTTTCAGGTGTTACAGAGACTGATAAAGTCTAGAGGGAAGTCTCAAGCCAAACACCTCAATGTGCAAATGGTGGCAGCAGACAAACTGGCTCAGTGCCCTCCAGTAAGTACAGTCACACAGACAGATAGGTGCATGTGCTGACATCTCTCAAACTTATAGACAAGCTCTAAAATTGCATCTAACAGTTCTAACAGTGAGAAAATGCATGCCAGTGGTATATGAATGTGTGTGTGTGTAGTAAGTGAGTGGGTGCGGGTAGTGTAAATTTTGCAGTCTTAGTTTAAGCCCTAAAGCCCTATGTGTGTTACAGCCCTTGAGGCCTCTGTGAATAATCTGTTTGATTTTGAATTCATACAGAATGAATATATAAAATGACTAAATGGGTCACCTTATTTTTGACACCAATTCCAGTAGTTTCATAACCCAAAGCTGGGCTCCACTAATGCCCTGACTAACTTTCAAAGGTTATATTTATCCACTCTTTTAATAGTAGCCCACTGAGGAGTCTATGTAACAAACAGAGGCGAAAGAGTATTAGTTTGATGAAATCAGCTGAAGTTGCTGTCTCATTTGCCCTCTTTACTCCTTCACTTCCTGTTATGTCTTCTCTTTCCCCTATTTTGTTTTTCTTTCTTTTTGTCTCCACCTTTCACTCCTCTCCTTCTTGATTCTTTTCTTCATTCCCACTCTCTTCCATTAATCTTTCACCAATGTCTCTTTCACATGACTTTTTTTGACCTTTACCCACTGTAGGAGCTTTTTGATATCATCTTGGATGAGAATCAGTTAGAAGATGCCTGTGAGCACATGGCAGACTATTTGGAGGCCTACTGGAAGTCCACTCATCCGGCCAGCAGCGCTCCAGCTAACCCAGTCTTAGACAAACTTGCCACCTCCACTGCGGCTCAGTCGGCCAGTCCAGAAACACTGTCCAACCTGCAGCTCCAGGTGCTCACCAAGCTCTGTCCTGCCAACACATCAGCACACAGTGATGGAGGGAGGGAAGAATGGTTTAAAGGGTTCATATCCAAGATAAATGAATTTTCCTTTTTTAAAATGAAAGTTTGGATAAGCTGTAAACACATTTGCATTTGTAAAATGTACTGTTCACTACCCAGTCTATATAATCCATTTCTGAAAACCAAGCTGCAAAAAACAGCTCATTTTGAATTTATTGCAACCTTAAATGCATTCCCAAGATCGACCATTTAGTGTAGCTCCACCCATTTACATAGAAGTGATAAGTACTATTACTGCACATTTCAGCCCATACTACTTTTTTGAATGGGGCACAATACAAGGCAATATTAGAGCAGAGATCACATGCAAAAATTTGTGAATATAATACAAGAAAAATGTCCAGTACGGGCCATCTAAGAGAGATAACTCTACAGAGAGAAAAACAGATGGATGTGGATGACAAGGAATTAGACAGAAGTCCAGAGTTGTAGTGGCTGGAGACAAAGTCAAGTAGGATGAGATAAAACAGGACAAAGGAAAAAGAAAATCCTGAGCAAACCGAACAGAACTGAGCTGAGATTCTCAAAGTGGAGCAAAGAACATAACTCATAGAATCACTGAGGTATCTCTGCAAGCCATCGTGATCTTTCAACTGCATATTAACTTTACCACTGTTTTCAAATACTGTCATAGTAATCATTCATCATTGTTGGGATGCTAACCCCTAATTATTTTTGTATCTCTAATTACACCCAGAGTTGTTTGAAAACCACTGCATATCAATATTATATGTGTGTTGGTGTGTGTTATATTCTAAACATATCGATCTCTTTATTGACTGCTGTGGCTCATGTTCAGACTGAAGAGGCTACTCCAATTGCAGATGGGTAGCCTCAGCCATGGTGAGTGTGTGTGTGCTGATGGGTCAGAGAGAGAGAGAGAGAGAGAGAGAGAGAGAGAGAGAGAGAGAGAGAAAGAGAGAGAGCAGCTTAGTTGCTTTTTGCACTCAGACTGAATTATAGTTTTACTAAAGCCAGTTTAGGGGACTGAAACTGCAATGACCAGCCATTATGGAATGAATCCCATCAGTTTTAATTACTGTTAAAGTTATACCAGGTCTAATTATGCAGTATGTTCATACTACAGATATTTGAGATTTCTACTGAGTGTGAGAGACACGACTGAAACTTTTTCTCTGCATTTCGATATCTGCTTTGCAGTGGTTTGCAGTGTTCTTTTGTTCTGGATGCACATCACTCAGTATGTTATGTATGTGTGTCTGAATTTTGGAGGTTTTTATGGATTTGTGTGGGGTGTAGGAATACTCCTCTGCCACATCTGTAGCAGACAGTCAGTTACCACAAACATTTGGGTGTCAACCTGCAATTAGAAAAAGAACTAAAAATTATGTATTTTTAGAAACAAATTATTTTTTACTCAAAGTTCCAGGGCTATCATAATTACTTGACTAAAATCGATTACTGGATTAAAAAATGAATCAATTAAACTTTCCGTTCTCTATGAATCGGCTCAGTGATTAGTTCACAACGTAATAAGGCTGTGTTTAGCAGGCTGAAGATCTTCCACAAATGACAGCTATCAGCACTTTTGTGTGCATCACTGAAAGACAGGAAACCTACATCAGCAGGATCTCACTAATGAATGTATGTTTGTAGTTACAAATTACATGTATACGAAGTGAAATTAAAGTAAAAATGTATATAAAGTAAAAGGTTTTGTTTAACTAGGTCTAGGCTGAACAGATTGGCAGACAGCTAAGAGGCTAACAGACTACTCTTGTACTACTCAGCTAGTTTACTGAAGGAATCACTGTAAAACATACTAAATATTTTACAGTGATTACTTCAGTACACTAACTGTAAAGAACCAACTGAATGTCTGTTAAGTTTCAAATGCTTCAAATGCCTGTGTTAGCAGCTAGGTAAACACCATCCCTATATTACTCAATTAAGCCCATTTTTATTGTCTGACCTGAAAAAAAGACACAACATGTTTGCAAACTGAAAATAATTGTGAAAATAATTGCTAGATTACTTGATTACTCATATAATCGATAATGACAGACTTCCGTTAAAAGTTCTTTTACTAAGAACGGCGAAATGCGTCAAAATTATTGTCCGTGATAATCGACTATGTACTAAGCTACAGATGTGACGGATAGAGATTAGGTAAAAAAAAATAAAAAAAAAAAATAAAATAAAAAAGTTGAGTATTTCTTTTAGGAAGTTAGAGCATGCTAAATCTGTGGAGTGCAGTAACTCTAATTATTATGTTTCAGTACATTAATGAATAACTGTGTGTTTATGTGTGTGCACTTGTGTGTGCTAACCCAGGGCATGGGGAGCAACCCGAAAGTGGAGAAGTCGCTGGGCGAGCGGAAGGGCTCTCAAGAAGACCATCATCACCACCATCACCGTCATCACCATCGACTGCAAAAGCAGGGCAGTCTGGACCACGCCGAGGATGATGACGCTGAGGAGGAAGAGCCAGTGGCCATGGAAGAACAGAGACCGTTACGGAGCGGGCGGAGAGCACCACACGTACACCACCGCTCTTCATCCACACGGACCGAACACCACAACCATCACCATCACCACCATCATCATCACCACCACAACCGCACAGCACGGACGCTTTCCAGGCAGGAGACGCTGGAGAGCAGAGATTCTGCTTACACTGAGCCACGAGCTAGCCACGCACACACACACTCGCACCCACACGCGCACACACACCACCCCCGCGAGGAGGAGGACGAGGAGGAGGAAGAGGAGGAGGAGGAGCCGCCTCTTCAGCACAACCACCATCACCATCACCATCATCACCGTGGAGACAGAGAGAGGGAGCATGAGCACAGTGAAAGAAACAGCCGGCAGCGTGCTCCACAGAGACCGCAACGAGAACGCTACCACGACTAAGAGAGACAGCGCTCCGCTGAGGGAGAGAAGAAAAGAGGAGAGACAGAGTGGGCGAGAGATCATTACATAGAGTAGTGACACACCCACACACAAACACACAATCACAACCACAACCACAAACTGCATCAAACGTAACACACATGCGCCATTATAAAAGTAAACTACTGTCAGGTCCACAATTATTGCCAACATTGATGAGTTTTATAAAAAACATCATAGAAAACAGTACTGAGATTAGTTTTAGCAGGGCCAGATGTGATTCCATAACAAGAATACACATCTGGGGACAACCTGTTAAACTTTTGAGGCGAAATCAAGGGGACACGCCCTCTAAAACCCACCCCCAAATTCCTCTAGTCTGCGCTCTTTTAACATTTACCGTTAGCTAACAAAACTGTTTTCCCTTTGCATGTATATCTATGTGTATAGATTTTTAGAGCGGCTTCAATTTATAGTAGATGTAGGGTTAAAAATTGGATAAAGATCTTGTGCTGTAAATAATCTTTATATCTTAAAAATCAGTGAATGTTTCATTCGTTTATAGCATTGTTACTATATCAGTAAAACTAATTTGATCTGGTGGCATAATAATCTAAAATTAGCAAAAACTACTATATGAATCTTGTTTTAAGCACTTTCTTAAAACCTCATTTAGTACAAAAGTTCTTGAAAGGAGAATGCTTAAACAAGCTTCAAACAGGATACTACAGATGTATTGCTTTAAAGTACAGACAAATGTCTTGTCTGAATTGGTTTAGAAATTTCACACTCAGCTTGTTCCCATAAGTCTACATTTCCACTTACATTTAGCCCAAAATGTTCTTGTTGCGAGATCACGTCTGGCCCCGTGAGACTAAACTGAGATATGATTAAGCAGCACAACACAAGGGGGATTGTTATGGCAAATAACATCACAGCTGTGATTTGGTCACACAGCATTTGGGATAGGATAACACACTCTTGAAGTGTTCTATTGCTCTTCTACAGCAGTTTGGGAAAGTAAAGAAAAAGTAAATCAAAGAAGGCCCAAACATTGTGTCAAATGCATGTTTTCAACAATGGCAATTTCTTAAGCCAAAAAAAGTAGTTCTAGCAGCTGACTGGTTTTGTTTCTTACAAACTGGTGGGCAGCAGAATGATATAGGTATGATAAAAAAACGTGCTGTTACCAGATATAACAACACAGGAAGAGCGCTTTACATATAATAAAAATGAATTGGAAATGACAAAAAGGTGCCACAGTCATCACCATCCCAAATCATTTTTTAATCTTTTTTAATAAGGCTGTAGGAGTTCTTTCAAAAACCTCCAGACTCCTGGTATTCTTAATGATTGTACTTGTTTTTATTCATGAACTGCCCAAATGATTTAGAGGAATGTCTGGGCTGATTTTTTAGTACCACCTTTGGCAGAGTCTCAGCTTCTTGGCAGAGACAGTCGAAGTTTTGGGCTACTTCGTGGAATTTATTAACTACTGATGTTAAAAAGAGCCCCTGGACCACTGGCAGCAGATCAGCCCCCAAAGCATCAATAAATTACTTATTTTATGGTGTGTCCCATCCCTATTCAAATGCCAGAAACGTCAGTGGTCTGCATGGCACATGGCATAACAAGTTGTGGTGTCATCTGACCATAAGATCTAGTTCCATTCAAGCTTCAAGTTTAGGTTTACTGAAACCGAAGAAGCAGTAATAAAATAAACGTTAAATGGCCAATATAACAGAAAACCAAACGTTCCTCACTTCTTTGAAATAAAAGAGTCTGATGTGATATGTAAAAAGTTTCAAAACGTACTGTTCAGCTCTCAGTCCATATGTGGAAACTAAGCTGCAAAAATGGCCTGTTTTAAATTTGTTGTTTCTGTGATGTCAAAACATCCAGTGCATTTACATATATCTGCCTGCTCGACATACAGCAGATTGGCCTGCCATTTCACACGGAAGTTGTAATAAGTATTTCACCCTGAACTTTTTTGAATGAAGCCCAAAACAGTCCAGCCATTAAAAGGACCTTGAAGGGGGGAAAAATAAAATGTAAAATCTTAATGCAGGATATCTGGACCTGGCAGTATATTACAATTACACACACACACACACACACACACACACACACACACACACACACACCATGTGCTGCTATCCTCTCTCCTGGATTCTTGGCTGTCAGTTACTATGCCTCCTTTGTAAAGACTGGTGTTTTTAAAGATGACTAGACTCATGTAAAAAACACACGTATCCATGCATACTTGTTCTATCTATGTGTGGACACAGGAATATTAAACAATAAACTGAGTAATTCTTCATTTCCTTTGACATGAATGATCCAAGTTTGTCTTTCATATCTGGCTGGTCTGTCAGTAAATCTTTTTTTTTTTCTTTTCCAGCTTTCTTCTGTTTCTGGTAGATAATTTAGCTAGGTATATTTCTATTGCATTATGACTACTGTTTGGGTTTGGTTAGAAGGAAATACTAATTTAAGTGTAACATTGTGATGTGTGACATTTTTCTTGCATTTTAATAGTGACTGAATGATGTTTAATACAATTGCACAACTGTGTTTTGCCTTACACACCAGAAGAAAAAAATCCAAATAGTTTGAAACACCTTTTTTGACTGCTTGCGACATTTTATTTTCAGTTTTACATTTTACATTTAATTTTTCCAAAACAAGATGGAAATTTTCTAAGACTTACTGGAAGGTTGTGTGATGCTTTGTGCGACTGACACTTTGCAGTATCTTCTTAATGTCCTGCAGGAGGCAGTAGTCTGTCATGTGTGAACTGTCTCTGCTTCTTTCAGAAAATGAAGGTTTGGGATGAAACCAGATGTTCTGCAATATTCATAACCGTGTTCTTGCTTGAAGAGTGAATGGGGAGTGTGCGGATTTGGGTTTGTGGTTCAGAATGCTCTCACAGGAGGAATGTATTTGGACTAACTGTGATTAACAGAGGGTCACAGTATGCTGAAACATAGAGGACACTACTAGGAAATTATCTTCTACGCCGCAGTAAAGAAGTCTCCAAGATAAGAATAAGCTGGTTACATTTACCTCAGTGTGAAGTTTGACTGTTGTTACTGTAGCTCAAGCACAATGCAGAAACAAATGCACAGTTACTTAAGCACTATTTGAAAGTCAAATGTTCAATAAACTGAATGTGCAGAAAGATAAAATAGCCTGTGAGGAGTAATGGCTGATATCAGGATGAAAGCTAAATGAGACCGTCTGGCATGATTTTGCTTGCTTAAAGCTAACTTGCTTTGACTAGCTTCCATTCTTTATTAGCAGTCTTTGGGGTGAAGTGGTATTTTCAGTAGTTCATAAAGAGGAATTCCAACATTTTTTCAACATTTCTGCATGTTTCAATTGCTGAGATGTAAACCATCATTTAGAGTGGTTTGCTGTGAAAACTATAGAGGAAATATAGCCACTTAATTTACTATTTGTCTTCTGAGTTCTTATATGTAATTTTCATAATGGTGAAATAGTGGTCAATCTCAAAAGTGGTCAGTCTTTTTGTACAGGTTTAAACTATTTCATGTAACAACTTTCTGTGAGGGGGCTTTTAGAGGCATTAAACACTTTGACGATTGGTTCACCACCACTGTCAGCAATTCTGACTCTTTAAGCTTCTCACATCACAACACTCCAAATGACTGTTTACATCTTAATAGGTTTTGCAGAAATTTTGAAAAACTGGTGGAATTCTCCTTTATTAATGTACATTTATTCATATTTAATTAAACTCACTCTGAGCTGGTCCTAAATGTTAAAAAGCCCGAACACAGCTCTTTGTAATTGCTAGCTTCATTACTGCCAATGGTTATAAAAGATGAATGTCAGCTTTATTATAACATGATGTTGAGGGCCTTTCAATACAAAGTCAAATTTCAGTTCATCTTGATTTGAACCAGATTGCCTGCTTGGGTGTTTGCGAGAGTGTGCATATTTTCATAAAACTGCATCTGTAAGCTAATGTTGTGTTTAAAATGTGCATGTGTTCTTGCCAAACTTCTTTGTGCATCTGCAAGCTTGCGCAGTGTTGCAAACGTGTGTCCATGCTTTGATTCTATCACACATCCATTGATTTGTGCAAGAGTTAACTTCAGTGAAGCAGAGTCTGACTTCCTGTATTGCAGCCTGAGCCCCATAATTGCTCTCTTGACCCATTCTCAGCTGCACTCCAAAAATAAGCAAGTCTCAGTTCACTCCCTGATCTCTTTGTGCGTTTCTTCAAAGCGCTACGTTACATAATTTGTAAACAGTGTAAATACATTTCTACATGGTGTATATGTATAAAAAGAGGAAAAAGGGATTAAATAATAAACTTAACTAAATATGATGAGTAAGATTTTGAAAAATATATGTGTTTTGAGCTTTTTTTAATATATATATTTTTGTTTCATGACTTTTCATGATCTTTTGTCTGTGTGGTGGGGTTATATACTGTGGTGAAAGATAAAATGTGCAAAATGTGAGAGAAAGAGAGCGCAGAGGGGACGAGACAGCATTAAAGAGAGCATTAAAAGCATGAGAAATGGAGCCGGCTGGTGAGGTATAAATAGACTTTTCAAAAACATCTCAGAATGTCCCAGGTGGGAAGGCCCGCCCCTTTAAGTCGTCATAACGACGCGGATGACAGCGGCGAAGCACGAAGGAGACTAAATTTGGCAGCAAGATGCTTTCTTCCACCCCCGTGTCTACACGAATCTAGCCACAGCCTGTTTTTCTTAAATCAGGGCTCTCAACTGCTGTCTAACTCCCAAACACGACCTTCAAACTTTTCCCCAAAGCTGAATTTATCATAATAACCAACATTAGAAAGCAATGTGTCATAATAGCACACAGTGTCAACTGTAGTGCCCTTTGAAGAGTCATGCAGCCAAATGGACTTCACTTGGGCGCATGACAGTTTGTGATGCAAGTATATCGATACTTTGACTCGGCAGTTAATCACTGTTTCGTTAGTATCTGGTGCTTTATTATTTAAAATATTCTGTTTATTTTTGTTTTAAAAAACTAAAAAAGCTAAGCTTGTGCATCTGCCCAAGCTTGTTGATAACCAAACTTGTTCATTTTTATGATACATTTTTATTTATGTTGATAAAAAACAAAACTGATCTATTACAGAAAACAAAAAAAAATCACTGACTTAACTTAAACTGTAGCATTCAGTCCATCCAGAATGCAGATTCTTAAAATACTAATAATCCAAAATACAGTACATGATCAGTAATTAGCTGTCTGTGTGTTTGTGTTGATACTTTCTTGCCCCTCTGCCTGCACGCTGCTTCCTCACAGTCCAGTGGGCCCGCAAAACCCACCGTCACCATAGCAGCTGTGTCGTCACTGTTGTCATGGTAACGGAAGCAGAAATGCACATGGCACCACCCTTCATTTCTCCTGCTGTGTTTTCTCCCATTCATGCCATCCATTCACCCTCCCCACTTCACCCTCCACCCCTCCCACTCATTTCTCTACTTGCTCCTCTCTGCAGGTGCTCCTCCTGTCTTCCTAGCTTGTCCACGTGTGGCTGCAAACGGAGGTGGGTTTGAGGGGGGGCCGTGCGTGTGCATTTTTAACGTCTGTTATCTCTTGATGAACTTCGCTATGAAGAATCCTATAGTGTCCGTGCTGGCTTTTAGGAGGTTTTCCGAGGAGTCACCACTGCTGGCTCCACCCCATGCTAATTCTGGGCGGAACCTTTGCAGCAGCCGTCGTTGGTCATGTGACAGTGTGGCTCCGAGCATGCCCTCGGAACCTAGATGAGGCTCCTGGAGGGAACAAAGAAATTAAAAAATCCAGCTCAAATTCTGCCGTCCATCTGTTTTTCTGCTTTTTCTATGTCGTTCCAAATCATATCATTATAACTAATGATCTTTAATGATCTCTGAAGTCTTTAATGAGCTGAATGAGGTGTGTTAGAGCAGGAAAAAACATGAAACAGCAGTGCAACACTGGAACACTACTTCAGACTTTCACTTAAGGATGTCACGAAAATTTTAGCTGACGATTAATTGTCATATAAATAATTGTGATTAACACAATTTTGCTTAGAATGTCCTCCATTCACACTGTTCTAGAACGTTCACCCCATTCACACTGTTCTAAAACGTTCACCCCATTCACACTGTTCCACAGTGTTCTCCTCCATTTACCCGTATTTACATTGTTCTACAGTGCTCTCCATTCAAACTGTTCTACAACGTTCACCCCATTCGGACTGTTCTAGAGTGTTGTTTCTATTCACTCTTCTAGAATGTTCTCCCCATTCACACTATTCTTGAATGTTCATCCTAATCCACAATGCTCTTGCATGCTCTCCCTCATTCTCATCTCCATTCACAATTACAGAATGTTCTCCTCCTTTCACACTTTTCTAGGATGTTCTTCTTTTTCTCAATAATCTAAAACAACTGCCAGCATTAGAATGTTGGTGGATTTAAAAAGTCAGGAAGTGTCAGTATGTACTCATCCTCTTACCTGTGGTTCGAGAGTTAAACATGGAAACGTTTTCAACGCCCAGGCTACCTGCTCCTCATTCTCAGCCAGTGTCACAGTACAGGTACTATACACTAACACACCTCCCTTCTTCAAGAGTCGCACAGCCTGTAAAACACATACACACAGTGCTATGAACAGACAGAATGGATACAGTGAAGATACTGCACAGAATAACCACACACTATCAAACCAATCAGACCTACAGCAGGTACCAGACACCATCTCCCCAGACCAGATAATTCAGAGAATATGAATACTATGCAATGCCATAAAACGGACTTAAGGGGATATCACACATAGACACGTACATAGAACTACACTCTAAAATATGTCCAACACAGTCTATTTGATGGTGCAGTCACAATACAAGTAAACAAAGAGCTCCATCTACTGGAAATGGATGCATATCACAGCTGGTGAGGCGAGCGCAGCTTGTATCTTGAACTGTGCATCCTTGTTTCTTTCCCTTGCATGTCTTTCTCACATCTTAGCTTCTTTCTCTGGGACGTGAGGAGGAGATGCAAGGATGAGATGGGAGGACGATGGAATAATAAGTGTGTATACACTTCCAACACCTGTTACTGGGCTTAAAGCGTCTGCTAATGATTGACACTTATATCCTAAATGATTGAAAACTGACTAATCAAATAGGCATTTTCTTGTACTTCTGGGCCTTTATGCACCAAGCGCAATTTTATTTGTGCAATTTATTTGGACATCAATGAATTAATTTAAACAAGTGTATAATTGAGGACATTGCATACCAAATGTCATATATCACAAAGTGAAAATTCAACATTATTATACTTTCCAAGGTGAGATGAGCGCACTCTGGCATTGGCACGGGGACACCCAATCTGATGGACCGGCTGCATTGCAGCAACAGGAGATTTTTGATCAATGTCAAGGGGATTAAGCTTGTCTTCTGCTTCATCACAGTGGGGGTGTCAGCATCCCCAAAAGCAGCTCAAACTGAGCTACATGCAAAAGCGCTCATGAAGTTTCGGCACCTGAATAAAGCAATGTACTTTTACTTTTCCGAAGCAGAAAGCAGCTTGCTTAATGCCACATTCACTCGTTTTCAGGAGCAACGTCTATCATTTTGCACTTCTACCTATTTGTTAAGTTTTTTGCAGTGGATATAATACGACAAAATTACAAAATATGTTGTGTGTGTGTTTAGTTTTGATAAAAAAAGAGTATTATGCGCTTTAATGTTCTTCACAACGCTTTTGGTGTGCCAGAGACCACCCTTCATTTATTTATTTAATATATACAGTGTATCTACCCTTTGCCTTTATTACAACTTTCACTCTTTTTGGGAAACTTGTTTTCAGTTTTTCAAAGAAACCTGCAGGGCTATTCCAGAGTTCAGTCTTAGAAGTTGGTTGTATTCTGGTCCCTGACTTGTCCACAGTAATGCATACAGTAACATATACAATGTAGTTTAAAATATTCTAAGTTACACAGCACTTCAGATGTACAAAAGCACTTGAGATTTAACATTTCATACATTTTGCGAATGGCAAGAAGTTATTAAATGATAAATAACATACTTTAGTTATCTATTTAGTGCTCTGAAATTTGATCACCACATTTGAAATATGAGGCATTCTGGATGTTAAATATTTTCGTTCCTGATGCTGTGTGGCTTTCTCAGTCATTTCAGAATCATCTATAGCTCTGCTCATTATTCCAAACACATCTAATGTTTGTTATTATTTTATAGCTTCCTACAAATTATTTGAAACCTGTGAAGCTGCATGGGACCTGCATACTATAGAAATGTTATATGAGTATTAACATACAAATCAGTTTCATCTTGTTGAAAATATTGATTAAAACTTAAGCCACAGCAACAGCTTTATTAACTGTAATCTGTAATCATCCAATGAATAAAAAACTACCACAGGTGCTACAATGAAAAATTTTTCAGCTTATGATACACTTATGTTTCCTCACATTGGAAGCCTCCTCTCTCCTCGATTCCTCTGAAGGCATTTAAAGAATTATACATCCTTAAAGATGGCAAACTTCACTTCAACTGATTTTCAGGTCACATGCTGGAGGATGAAGAGTGAGGAATTAATCAGTGTTGATATCCACCCTCTGTGTGTGTGTGTGTGTGTGTGTGTGTTCCTACCGTAGTGAAGAGTTTTCTCTGTAGAGGGGGGTATGAACACACTTCTTTGAGACTCCAGTTAATGGCCATGTTGGGTCTCTGCCCCAAACCACTGCAGGGAGCGTCTAACAGTATCCGGTCAAAACTTTCTTCTTGGAACGGAGGAGCGTCTACAAACATCAATTGACACGACACATCAAAAAACTGATGCTGATAAAAATGTTCATTATTTAGTAACTGAAATTCTGTTTACTCTGTGACTTTTTTAATAAACTTTCTGTTTAAATCTTTTTCAGTTTTTATTAGATATGCACCAATATTTCCCCGAAAAATACATTTTTGCCTCAAATGGATCAAAGCTGAAAGAGTGAAAATATTCTTACTAACGAAAGCCGGTCTGTTACTTCTCTGCACTATACATTTTGTACATTCTGAAAATAACTTAAATAGTGATGTTGAACTCTGGCAATCTACCTGTATCAGACTCCTGAGTAAGATCAGAGCTCACGGCGTGTATGCTGTTGTAGCAGTATGCTTTAATACAGTCCAACTGCAGAGTCTGGGCATTCTGACTGATCTTCTCCAATTTGGATTTAATCTTCTCCAGAGCCACTACCACTCCCTGTCAGGGATACAAGGTTAAAGGATGAGTTAAATACAGAGGCTGGGAAATATACAATGATCTTATAGATAAAGAATTGCATCTCAATTTAATGACTAAAAACAGTTATGAAGAAATCCTTTTTTTGGTTTTAACGGTACTAGTACTGTGATTCTATTGTTTCACACGGCAAGATATACCAACCAACCACTTCATTAAGTACACTTCCTTGTTTCTACATTCTTTGTCCATTTTATCAGGTCCATTTACCATATAGGTGCACTTTGTAGTTCTACAATCACAGACTGTAGTCCATCTGTTTCTCTGCATTTGTTAGCCCTCTTTTACCCTGTGTCAAATACACATACACACCTGATTCCCCATGAGAGCTGCTATGTGTGTAGTTTTCCCTCCCGGAGCTGCACACATGTCCAAAATTCTCTCACCAGGACGAGGACCCAAAACATGCCCCACCACTACTGATGGCAAGTTCTACACACACACACACACACACACACACACACACAGCTCACATCAGCTTAAATATTTTTTTATTGTATGTGAGTATATAGCCTTCTGAGACACCCAAAGCCTACCTGCAAAAACAGTTCATTTGGGAGTACACCATCAAAGGAAGGGCTCTGGTAGAGAGCTTCCACCATTCTGATAGCCACACCCCTAAAAAAACAGAGAGCAAAAGATAAGTATTAGAAGGAATTCCATCAATCTTTCAAAATTTCTGCATAGCTGAGATGTAAACAAAGTCATTCAGACTGGTCTGATGTGAAATGGTTCATTGTAGACCAACTCAGATTTCTTTACGGTGGTGGTGATAGGAACCAGGGGTCACAATGTCTACAGTACAAATGTAGACATTTTATTTACCATCCAAAATGACCAGTTAACTTACACATGCCTTCTGAGTTTCTATATGTAATGTTGCTGATGGTAAAAGGTGTAAACCTAAAAAATATGTTTTCTCTGGATATTACATTTTCTTACATTGTGTCTTTCTGCAAATAATGCATTTAAATACACGCATGTGTTTTGGTAGTGATAATTCTTAATTTTACACACTGATTTTTTAGACTTTGGGACATATTTACTTCAAATCAATGGGATCTAACTGCTCACCATGTGGCCATGAGGGACAAGGATGCAGTCTCACTTCCTGCTCTAAAATGCAGGGGTGTGGCTAAAATAAGGCTCCGTCTGTGGACTAAAGTCCTCGTGTTTCGGTAATGACATGAAAAAGTGGGATGGCATTTTTTGAATAAAGTTTTACTTATGTAAATTAAACTCATGATCAATCTAAATCAGGGGTGCACAGTTACAGTCCTGGAAGGAACACACCCACTAAACCTGCTAGCTAAGACATAAGTGTAATCAGGTGTCTGGTAAAATACAAAAACTGTGCTGGACACAGGCCCTCCTGGCCCAGAGCTGTGCAACCCTGATCTAAATCTAAATCAAAAACATGTATTTACAAAAATGTAAGTTTAGAGGTTAGGGTTTGGAACAGACACCTCCCAATAGAAGGTACCCTATAAGTGATGATTTTGTATATATTACTATCTCAATTACTGCATTAGGTTTAAAAAGATCATAATATAACCCTTTTACATATCTAAGGTCTGAATACTTCATTGTTTTTTACAGTGGGACTGCAGTTTGAATTAATTCAGTCAAATGGTCCATGTAGCAGAGGAGGGGATAAAACAACACAAAATAAAATTAAAAATGGCTGTGAATTATGTGAGAGAGAGAAATAACAGGCATTGCATATGACCACATTAATTATTGCAGTTTACCTTATCGGTCCCTCTGCACAAAATATCTCAGCACGGTCCATAGCGCAGACTCCATTACCCAGAAACACTTTCTTCCCCTGGAACTCTTTAGCTCCACGTGTGCACTTGCCCTCCACATCAGAGAACACTGAGACTGTATCACCTGCCTTCATAACTGACACACAAGAACACATGGACATTCACAAAGCCTTGCTAATAGAAGGTTTTTTGATATCTGATGCTCTGAATGGAAATTGTTCTACTATGATGCGTAATTAGCATTTGTACATATGTACTCTTACACTTAGGTGCACTAAGGACACCAGGAGCGAAGACATGAGCACCTCTCAACACAGCACTGCCACACTGAGCTCCAACGACCACTTCAGAATTTAACACACTCACGTCCCTGTAGAGAAAACCACATTCACACACAAATATTACTGCGCAAAAGTCTGTAATCACTTGACATTCTTCATGTTATTTTATGCAGTACTGTGCAGAAGTCAGAGACCACCCTTCATTTATTTATTTAATATATACAGTGTATCTACCCTTTGCCTTTATTACAACTTTCACTCTTTTTGGGAAACTTGTTTTCAGTTTTTCAAAGAAACCTGCAGGGCTATTCCAGAGTTCAGTCTTAGAAGTTGGTTGTATTCTGGTCCCTGACTTGTCAGTAATGCATACAGTAACATATACAATGTAGTTTAAAATATTCTAAGTTACACAGCAAAAGTACTTCAGATGTACAAAAGCACTTGAGATTTAACATTTCATACATTTTGCGAATGGCAAGAAGTTATTAAATGATAAATAACATACTTTAGTTATCTATTTAGTGCTCTGAAATTTGATCACCACATTTGAAATATGAGGCATTCTGGATGTTAAATATTTTCGTTCCTGATGCTGTGTGGCTTTCTCAGTCATTTCAGAATCATCTATAGCTCTGCTCATTATTCCAAACACATCTAATGTTTGTTATTATTTTATAGCTTCCTACAAATTATTTGAAACCTGTGAAGCTGCATGGGACCTGCATACTATAGAAATTTTATATGAGTATTAACATACAAATCAGTTTCATCTTGTTGAAAATATTGATTAAAACTTTTGAATGGTATTGAATGATGGATGCAAAATGTTAATATGCATTAATTATCATTATTAGTAACTAAAACTGAGCTCTTTGTGAAATGAATGCCTTTCTAAATGCAAAGGACATGTTGATTTCTGTGGCATGCAGATGATGATCAGTCAGTCAGTATCCATAGTCATTGTTAATGAGGGGTCTTAAAAGAAGATTTCTAGCAGACTGACCATTTGACTTTGGAATAAAGCACAGACAATAACATCAGCCATAATCTATCATCTTGTTGAAATCATTTTTTTCTGTATTTATTTAAGATTTTAAAAAGATAAGTGATCAAAAGTGATAAAAAGCAATCTGATTACAATACTTTACTATAGTAATCCTTTGGATTAGGTTACTTTTTAAGAGGTAATCAGTAATCTGTACCAGAATTAATTCTTAAAGTAACCCTCCCAACCCTGGCAGAGCCTGTATAAAAATCTGATAATGATGTTTTGCGAATCGAAGAACCTCCGAACCTTTCAAATGAGAATCACACACAGAGAGCAGGGAGTTGCCTGAGGTAGGTTATGCAGTGTCTTGGCTGTGGGTTGAGCTGCCTTTGCACTGCTATTCTCATGGTCTTAAATAACCATGTGGGAAGCCAACTGCAGACCACGGACGAAACCAGAGAGATGTTTTTGCTGTGTGTATGTGTGTGTGTGTGTGTGTGTGAGAGTGAAGGAGTGGTTGAAAAATACAAAGGAATAAAAATTTAAACAGTGGGATAGAACATGACAGCAGTAAAGGAGAGAATGAGTGAGACAGATGGACAGAGTTAAAGGATGAGTAAAATCTTGAGAGTAAAATGGCTGGCATTTTCCCAGCAGCCATTAGGACAGAATTCCAATCATACCTAGGTCCGCTGACTGGAAGCAGCAGCACATCTGGAAGCAGTGGGTGACGGAGGATGGGAGCAGTAACACTGTCGCCATAACAACTGCTCAATTGTTGCTGGGAGACAGAAAGATACCCTCAGAGGTCACAGAGTTCACCCCACTGTTTACATGTGCTTTGTGCCACTCTGTCAAAATAAATGATCAGGCAGAGAGGCCTTGCTTCACGTTGCAAAATATCACACTGTACGAAAGTCTACAAAGCTTATGGCAACTTTACAGCCTGAAATGAAAACAAATGCGAGAAACTGAATGTGAACTGAAACCGTTTGACTCTGTGAAAATTCCAAATCCTTTCAGCTACATTAGAGAAACAAACAAGTAGGTCACAAGAACATACACAGAAAGTGGTCAAGACCGTGACCGTGACATATCCTCCATTAGCTGAGTGAAGTGAAGGCGCCAATATTATTCAGAAAAATGAACAAAGAAGTTCATGTGAATTGGAAATCTTCCTTCCTTCTTCCTTAACATGTTGTATTTCCAAATTAAACAGGACGTTCAGGTGAGAAATAATTGTGGATGGGACATGATTTTATTTTTTAGGATTTAACCGAATAGTGAAAAGCATGTGTCCCGAAAAGACCCCCGAGTTAGACTCTGACAGTCAGCAGAATCCGTCTGTTTTGCAAAAAAGCCTAAGATAAAAACTAAAAATAAACAAATTTTGTCAAAAATGAAGTACTACATCTGTAGTTTCTGTAAGATGATTCATTTTTGGGTGAAAGCTTCATTTTAATATGCAATGTTTTTATTTTAATAATAAATTCCATTAGTAGTTGCTGGTGCACTACTGATAGCAGGTTTTTCCCAGTTAAAATTCCCAGTAAAAATTCTTGACACTTGAAGGGTAATGCAGTCCCTGGAGAAGTTTTGATAGTTTCCATTATTGACATTAAGCATAAAAGTGATATACAATGGCATATGGCCAATAAGCGCTTTATAAAAAAATAACAAAAGCCAATGTGGAGTATGGTGAATTGCATCACCATAATCAAGAGGAGATAATGTTGCTTCAACAATCCTTTTCCTAGTGAGCATCGGAAAACACATTTTGTATGGATACACGAACCCAAATTTTTATCTGAATTTGTCTGCGAGGTTATTGATATGGCATCTAAAAGTACATCTGTCATCTAGCCATATGTCAAGGTACTTATATTCAGTGACTCTTTCAATGCTGGATCCTTTCAAAGTACTGATTTTCAAAGTGCTAAAATCAATGTTAGATGCTCTGTAAAAGCTTCTGCGTTCAAAACTAATTTAGAGCTGTAAAAGACAGTTTGTAAGGCATTAAAAGAGCTCTGCAATTTTTCAATTGTTATTGAGATAGAGTCGGTAGTGTCATCTGCATAGAAATGGAGGTGGCGATATCATTCATATTGATATCAAACAAAATCGATCCAAGAATGGAGCTCTGAGGAACACCTTTAGTTACTGATAACAGGTGTGATTTATTTTGCTTTATTTTGATCAACTGCATCAAAGGCTTGGAAAAGATCAACAATGGCTGCAAAATGGCTGAACAACTGGCCTAAAATTGATTTCAGGTGGACTTTAATGCTTAACGTCTTCCTTTTAGTTAAAAAAAATCACTAAAATCTATACAAATAAATATTATAGTAGGTGAGCTTAAACAGTTAAGAAGACCTGAGCATTTGTTTGACGTATCGTTAAAGGTGATTTAAAATATATATAGACGGATTAAATCTGAAAAAAAACAACAAAAAATACATATATAATGGAAATTTATGTATTTTCCTAATCTTGTGAGGATGTCTGATCCTCATATGTATAGACAGGCAAGCACGCATACCTGTGTGAGGTGTTGCTCCAGTCTGTACTGAATGTCCTGTAGGCTGTACATGTGTGTGCTGGCTCTCAGACAGGTGAGTGAGGGTGGGTGAGACAGACAGGAAAGCAGAGACCTGAATACTCGCTCAGCTTCCTCCTGCCCAAGCTCAGCCACTAGCTGCAGAGAGAGAGAGAGAGAGAGAGAGAGAGAGAGAGAGAGAGAGGGAGAGAGAGAGAGAGAGAGGGAGGGAGAGAGTGGGAGAGAGAGAGAGAGAGAGAGAGAGAGAGAGCACAGCAAAAGTAAAACCTAAATGCGCAACAAATAATTACACACAAAATGCCAACAGAGGAAATGTTGCCACTGCCACAAGAAAGAAGTTCTTACTTCTTTGTTTGTGTATACATTGTGGAGATATTCCTGCACTTCAGGCCTTAAGGCAATCTGAGGGAAAACGTTCATGTTCATCAAGGACATCATAGACACTACAAGAAAAGAAAAATAGTTGAAAAAATTTAATCCATTGCACTGATGAGACTACTGTAATTCCTACTTTAGCAATATGGAAATGTTCATAAAGTGATCTGAAGTGGAATGAATCAAATGAGTCTCATTGACATTTAACCCTTTGAAGTTACTCTATATCAATGTTTCTCAACCCTGGTCCTGGAGGCCCACTGCCCTGCACACGTTTGTGCTCTTCCTGCTTGTACACACCCACTTTAACCCAGTAATGGGCTGTTAATGAGCTGACTAGTTGGATCGGGTATGTTGGAAGCCGGGAAAACACTAAAAAGAGCAGTGCAGTGGGCCTCCAGCACCAGGACTCAGAAACACTGATCTATACCACTTCCAGCTTGTCCTCATACACTGTTTACGGAAGCTTGGTCTCACAAGGAGGATTAAATGGGAAATTACACTCTTAAAATGATGATTCTTCAAGGGTTCTTTATAAAAGGCAAAGGGTTCTATTTAGAACCATTAAATGCCTAAATGCTTCTTTAGATTAATGGAGAACGTGTTGTTGTATTTGGTTCTCTACAGAATCAAAAAGGGTTTTTCTGTTGTTACAAGCTTGACATCGTAACAACAGAAAAACTCTTTTTGGTGCTATATAGAACCATTTTCAAAAAATATACATGGCACTTATGGTTGTAAACAGAACCACTGCATTTACCAAAGAACCGTTGAGACACAGAGTGTAGCAAGACGACACCTCCGTTTTCCAAAAGGAGTGCGCAGTAAGACATTACTGAACGGGAGTGTTTCTACTGTATTTACTATAATAGATTACTGAGTTGTCCCAGACAACATTGAACAATCCTCATATCGTTACTCAAACTCAAAAGTTTCACTAACATACACTCTTTTTGTTTCACAGTACAAGACGAGAAGAAAATATTTTCCAAATTTCACACTAGCTTGCCTGCACGTTTCTGCACCGTAGCATCCTCATACGTCATCGCTGGGCGTGTTTCTGAGCGAGGGATGATGGGAATTGTAGTTTTGCTTTAGACCTACTGAAGCTCCACCACAGTAGGTGACGGTAATGAACCTTTTGTGGTCGGTGAAGCGTCACAGAAGAACAGGACGGTCTCGGACGCTTTATGGTTGGGGGATGGTGCTGGTGTTGGAGCCTGGCGGAGTTTCAGTGCAACAAGGCGAGTGAGAGAGCTGGTCATCATCTGTAGCTTAACTACGCCGCTTTACTGCCCGCACAGCACAGCGCAAACTTTCCTCTCGTTTAAGGGCTGACTGGATAAAAAAGGCTCCGCTCCTGGCTGAGGAGGAACTGAGATTTAGCAAAGCCGCTTTGGCTTTGGCTTTTTAGAACCTTTGCCAGTCCACGTCGGAGCCCAGGAGCAGCTGGAGCAGCAGTGAAAGCACACCGGGCTTAAAGAGCCACTGTGTCCCGGATTCCGCCACTCACTCCGTGTGGGAGATGATGGTGATGTGGAGGCGCAGCTGCTCTCAGCAGACAAAGAGCTGAAGGGACACAGAGGGTGAACTAACTGGCCTACAGGGTTCATACACATCCACTTACCCCAGAAACCCTCTCGTGATGTCGACGTGAATCCTAACTGCTTACCTGGGCGACTGGAATATGGGACTTGTGTAGCTAACGTTAGCTGGACGAGTTCTCTGCATGAACATAACGGGTTAGCGAGCCAGAGCTGTGGAGCCACAGGCCTCTGTAGCCACTCACCTTGTTTTTTAGCCGAGTCGAAGAAATTAACCTGCCGAATTATTAAAGGAATCCAGAGACATGGGCTTAATTGTGGCCAAACTTTGGAGTTTTTTCTGCAATCAAGGTAAGTAGCTAACTTGGTTGGCCTACTCAGGTTTTCCTGTTTTTGAGTTGTGTATTAGGAGAGTGGCCAGTTAAGAGCTTATCGCTCGCTAGCTGGCTAACGTTAGACCACTTTCTTCTAGCTGGATAATCTGGATATCACAGTATTTAGACAGCTAAAGGTAATTAAGGGTTGTTTGCTATTTCGAACAATAATGTAGTTTTTGCCCTGACCAGACTGTTCAAATCGGACTGAAAATGTTAAAGAACAACATTGTTCAGTTCAGGAGTTTGGGGTGTATCATGCTAGAGAAAACTGTAACATATGTTGTATTGTTTTTTGTCATAATTAAGCTTAACAGCCGCGTCCGTTAGCTCTGTAACGGTTAAAGCGGCTGTCCATTTTGCACAGGTGCTCAGCCGATCGAAAGTTATTTCACCAATTTCCCAAATTTCTGCATAATTTTGTGTTTGAGATGTAAACACAGTCATTCAGAATAGTTTGTAGTGAATTGGTTCATTGTAGAGAAACTTGCCGACTCAAATTTCTTTACAGTGGTGTCGATGGGAACCAGGAGTCAGGATGTTTACAATACAAATATAGCCATTTTATTTACTATCCAAAACCACCAGTGAACCTCCACACGTCTTCTGAGGTTTTATATGTAGTGTTGATGATGTAGCTGAAATAGTCATACATCTGAAAACATATGCTTTCTTTGGGGACTATTTTGCCTTACAACGCCCTGCGTGCACCCCCCCCCCAGCCATGAATGTGTCAAAATAAATGGATTCAAATACATTTTAAGCTGCAACTTTATTACTAAACTGTCCTAGAACTATGTCTCAGGCATCATGCAGCTTATATCTAACCATTTAATGTAATAACTTTCTGTGAGGGAGCTGTGGTTCCTGTCACCACCTCTGTGGACAATTTTTACTTGGCAAGTTTCTACAGAACGGAGCATTTCACACCAAAAAACTCTAAAGGACTGTTTACACCTCAACCATTTAATTATTTAGAAGTTGTGAAAGTTGGTGGTGGTCTCCTGGGCACCATTGACTTCAGTACTCTGGACCTTGTACTGATGTTTGCTGTTAGCAACCTTTTACGTACACTGTAGACATTTATTTGAGGAAAAAGCAAGAATTCACTTGATTTTTTTTTTTTAAACTGGCAACTAAATTTTGTAAATTTAAAAGAATGAAAGAATGGCCAAAGCCCATTTGCTCACTTCTTCATCCTGAATTGTGAAAGACTGTTTTATCGCATTCCCTAAAAATGATAAGTAATTCATTACTGAGGTGGAATGTTTTGACTCAAATGTCTTGGTCTTAACTTTTTTTTTTAAAGAGGAGTTTCACAGATTTTTCAAATTTGTGCATAATTCAGTCATAAACGGAGTCATTCAAAGGTTTGTTGTGATATGGTGCATTGTAGAGAAACTGACCTGCTTGGACTTGTGTACAGTGGTGGTGATGAGAACCAGTGGTTACGATGTCTATAATGCAGATATAGCCATGTTATTTTGGATAGTAAAAAACAAATGAACCTACATGTGTCTTCTGAAATGTTATAAATCTGACATGATTTTGCTTTACAACACGCTGCTTGTACCTCTCTGCCTTTTAAAATGCATTCAGGCCAAAATCCTCTCACAGAGCCATAGTAAAACAGTGTCTGTAGCTTCAGGCAGTGTATTCGTAACAATTTCATGTAGTAACTTATGCTGTAGTTTTTAAAAGCGCTTTTTAAATGTCTAGTAAAACCAGTGTGGTTAGTTTCTGTAGGATGCCGCATTTCACATCAAACCACTCTGAATTACTTTGTTTGCGTCTCAATGATTTACTTATCCAGAAATGTTGAAAAAAGCAGTTAAACCCACCTTTACTTTGATACAGTAAAGGGGACTAAGGACTGATGCTCGGGTTCAGTACTGGGGAGTATATCGTCTGTTCTGGTTTACTGATATTGGTGTGACATAATAAACTAAACTTTTAGTGTTAGTGCTGTTGATTGATCAAGAAAGCTTAGCTAACTGCTATGTACAGTATGTGCTGGATTCTCCTGATGGTCTTAAAAGATTACCAGTATTCAGAAAGCATTGGTCCATTAACGTAACTACTGTAAACGTGAATATCATCTGGTATATACTGATGAATTTGATCAGTACCACCAAGCCCTTCAGTAGCAGGCAGACGCTAAAATGAGTAGCTTGGCTAATCCACAGCTGTCTCCAGGTATATTTTAATCTCGGTGAATACAGTCGTGTGGGACAGTGGGTGTCAGCTTGTTTCCTTTGGAGAGGTGAGGGCAAAAAGCTGTCGTGGCCCAGCCCCCAGTGCTTTTGTGCTTCAGAACAGACGCTGGGGTCCTCTGACTCAAAGGACGTGACAGAAGGCATGATGCCGTGGGTGACCCGGTTAACAGAATGTATGCAAGGAAAGCGTATTCCTCCCATATTGTCTTCCCATTACATTATTCACATTATGTCATTGTTTTCCTGTCATGTTATTCTCAGCGTGAGCAGCAGGAACTTTCCTCAGGATAAGCAACTGCGAAGGCTGCACAGTGACCGCAGTTGGTTTGTCCAACATATTGAATGTTTGTAAAGAATAATGTTTCAAGCTAAAAAATTTTAAGCTTCTCCCACCTTTTAAAGGGTTCTTGAGTTTAATGTTTTTGAAAGATATTTGGCACTCAGTCATATTTATTAAAATTCTTGTTTAATGTACTTTCTCAGACTGTTCTGGAAATGGAATCCTTCAGCAGCTGTTCACTGCTGTTGCAAAGCCCACAAAGGACTTTGTGCACGTAGCTTATGATGATATTTATTTATTTAAGCATCAAAGCTTTAAATATGATTTCCAAACTGGTGATCACTGATCGGAATGTTAAAGATCCGTCATCCTAAGAAGGTTTCCTGCCTGAAATCTTGAGGCGTGTGACAGTGTTTTATTTTCAGAAGGTGGTTTTGCTGACTTTTTCTGAGGCTTTGGTTTAACGGACTAGTCCTGAACAAACATTCCAAACAGAATCTCCAGATCCCTGGAATGTTGGACAGATGTTCCAGAAGGAACACTGTTGGAGCCATGGGGAGGTGCTATTCTTGTACACAGTATTCCAGAAGTTGGTGTTGCTGTATAACCACTGAAATCACTGTATGTGCTGTGGAAGGATTGTCACTTCCTGATGTTTTAAAGCTTTAATGCTAGCTTACGTTACCATTAAGGAATTGCCATATTGAAGTGTAGTAGATGCACTTAAAGTGCCCATATCCTACATTTTTTCTTGTATTTTTTCCCTGTGAGGTCTGCTTATTATATTTGTGTAATTTACATACTTAAAAACAGTCATTCATAGTTACATGACCATTTTTCAGCCTCTCATTATCCTTTAGAATAAAACGGGCTAATATTTTTTGTAATATGACTTTAAGTCTGGTATATTAAATGACCTCATGTAAATAGCTTCACTGTGAGTGAGTGGGGCTAAACTGCTATAGGCTGAATAGCTGGATATATGTAAGTGTTTTTTTACATGTAAACAGCAGAATCAAAATGGGCTCTTTCTGCAGCCTAGTTGCCAAATATGGACTGCATGAAATGAGTGAATAGTATCTTGGTTGTGGTGTCTGTCAAATATCGTTTGAATAATGCAGTGAAAAATCATGTATCAAATTTGAAATGGCCATCTATATTTTCTATGATGTCAGCCCTTTAAGAGTGCCTGCCATTTCCTTCATGCCATTTTATTGAATCTATTGATATTGAATATGCGAAATCAATACGCTAAGCAGAACTTGAGCAGTAGCCTTTCATGATTATTGACCCATACTTAGGTGGGTGATTACATTTAACGGAAATTGCTGATCCAGGATAACTTGGCACCTGGAGAACACTGATTTTGAAATAAGCGTGGACTGGCTGACTTGTGAAGGTGCTGTGATTAAAGCAGGTAAAGGAAATTTGTAGTTAAATATGGTTGGTTGACTTTTGATTTAAAGTCAACATGAACTGGAAACATTACTTACAACTTACAACTACAGTGATTTTTTTGTACAGTGTTTTACTAAATGTGCTGTACTAAATCCAGGCCTAAACAGGCCTTATTATGCTTACTTTGTAATGGAACATGTAGTTAGTGTTCTTCAACTACTGACTGTATCCACAATATGCTCAGAAAACCATATTGCCACATAATCTATCTGTCTACGAAAATCATAATTTATCGTCACGTAGTCCACCCCGACAGGAAAATAAGAATTTTGTCTTTACAGTAATATGATTAATTGTGTTTAATATGACCAGGGACTTACGAACAAAGTAAGAATGTCAGTATTGATTTTGGTTGACTTTAAAGCCTGTCAGACATGCATATCTTTCAGTGAAGAGTGTTTAACAAAGTTTGCTAGCTAATTAAATGTACAAGCTACTAGCAACATGGTTTGAGTTATCAATGGAAAATTAAACATGGTGCTAGATCTGCTCTTCTGCATAAGTACAAGCATTTGATACAGGCATCCTCTGCTTGTATTCTGTCCAAGGACTGCTTCAAGAGGAAGTGCTGGATAGTTTTGGCCTAATTCCCCTGAGCTGACTGCAGAAGGAGGTCTCTGGAGAATGGGATTAGTAATCCCATTCTGTCTCTTAATTCCCTGCATTACTGTCTCAAGCAGCACTCATTACCCCATGTTTCACAGCGTGATCCTCTCTTAAACAAACAACTGTGTCATTCACAAGAAGTAAGCAGAAGAATAAGTAAATCAGTTTAGTAGCCAAGTCGTTTTAAGGTCCACTTGCTTATCTTCAGTTAAATAGAGAGGTTATTGGAAAAGGGAAGTAAAATTTCTTCGTTGCATGTGTTTGAGATCACGAGATGAGTACGAGACGAAAACACAATGTTAGATCTTGTTTTGTAGTGAAGTCTTAGTCACTGCAGGTTAAACCAGGGTCTCAAACTCAAATTACCTGGTGGCCGCTAGAAAGGTAGCCCAAGGAGGGGCAGGTAAAAAAAAAAAATTACATGTATGAATTTTATCATATCATATGTACTAATTTAAGCACATCTTAGTCATTGTTTATTAGCAATTTTTATCACCGCAAACCACAGCTGCTGCTACTACTACTACTGTTACTACTACTACTACTACTACTAATGATGATGATAATAATAATAATAATAATAATAATACTAATAATAATACTCATTAGATTAATATATTCTTAGTAGTAGTAATAAGGGCGGCACGGTGGCGCAGTGGGTAGCGCTGTCGCCTTACAGCAAGAAGGGCCTGGGTTCGATTCCCGGCCGGATGACCAGGGTCGTTTCTGTGTGGAGTTTGCATGTTCTCCCCGTGTCTGCGTGGGTTTCCTCCGGGTACTCCGGTTTCCTCCCACAGTCCAAAGACATGCAGTCAGGCCAATTGGATGTGCTAAATTGCCCCTAGGTGTGAGTGTGTGTGTGAATGTGTATGTCTGTCTGTCTGCCCTGCAATGGACTGGCGACCTGTCCAGGGTGTATCCTGCCTTCCGCCCAAGGACAGCTGGGATAGGCTCCAGCACCCCACCGCAACCCAGAAGGATAAGCGGTTTAGATGATGGATGATGGATAGATGATGGATGGATGGATAGTGGTAGTAATAATGTTCAATAGCTTTTTTACTGTTCAATTAAATCAAGAACACTTATGTTTAATAGAATTATTTGAGACTCTTATGCTGTGTTTACATGTTAGCATTGAACTACTGTTATATCCTGAAACTGTTTGAAATGAATGCTGATATTTCTATTAGTGTCATTTGAAGAATTTCAGTAAGTTCACATAAATGTATGGGCACGCCTGGACTTCCCCTACCACCATTTTGTGCCCATCATTTCTAAAGAAAATCAACATTTATTTCACTGTTGCGGTCAACTGCAGAAGCTGGGAACATTGAACAATGGAATATCCGGTTTGGCGGCGACCGCCTACCACCAACATGTAAACACAGCATTGCGATAGCATTGACACTACTGCTGAATGCAGTGAAGTTAATGAGTGAAGTGTTTGTAAAGCAGTTAAGCCGGTGTTCTCAGTGATGATACCAATCACTTCTTAATTCTGAAACTGCAGAGACCTGTGTGTCATGTATGAATCCTCTAAGGCACATTTAGCTACTTGTCAAAATTAGATTGATAGCTAAGTTAGTTATGGCTAAATTACATCCATGCCCTCTCAGTGTGTAGCATTCATGCTGCATCAGGTTTTCAGTTAAATGATTTCTCTTGCTTTCAGTGCTCTGTGTTTACTGTTTAACAATGTAAGCATCAGCCTATGTTCATTTTTATATAGCTCATTTTAGGTAACCAGTCACAGTGTCTGATGGGTAAAGCAAATCTTCCCATTAAGCATAAATGTTCAGCTGCAGAGAAAAGGAAGAAAAGATTTGCAGGCCAGATTTAAAAATAAAACCTAAATATGTGACGGGCCATATGAAGCCTCCAGTCCGCGGGCCACCACTTTGAGACTCCCAAGGTAAACAATTTGGAACATCTGCTCATCTGTACATAAAGTTTTCTCAATGTTTGTGCCTTTTTTTTAAGCTGAGCATAAATACTGAGATAACGAAGTTTAAAGCAAATTAAAGTTCTTTTAGGTTAATATGTAGTTACGAACCCCTGACATGCAGTGTGTGACCTGCTAGCATCTTTAGGCTGTTGGTAGCTTCATTGACCTACTCTGCCAAGTCTTGACAGCAGCCTTGTTGTTTGTTTTGAGGGTTTTCTGACTTCAGTTTCCTATTCATGTGAAACGGATTTAAATAAGGAGACTAACCTGAGCAGTTTTAAACCTTTCACTTTTTCTTACTGAACATTGAACGTTTTAGTTAAGTGCGCAGTATGTTTTGGACCAGCTGCAGTTTGAACTTCTGAACCTCCGCCCTCTGAATTTGGGGCCTTTCTTTGGTATCACTCAAGACCAGTGAGCCAGTTCCAGAGGCAGCCATGCATGCCCAAGCCATAACACTGACTCATCTGCTTAGGTTCATTTGTAGTACCTCTTTTTCCCTACACTCTTCTTGATCCAAGTTTATCTTCGCCTCATCTGTACCTAAAATTTTGTTCCAGAACTTGCCTCTTTCATGTTTGTGCTTCTTTGCATTTGCTTTGTATTTTGCATGTTTTCTTCAGAACTGTAATGCTTTTTTTCCTACCATAAGTTGCTGCAGTTTTTGTGTTCTGAAATTGGGTTAGTCTGCATTTTCCATCATAGTAGATCTTTTTTTCCAGTGCACGTTGTCGCAAAGCCCCTATTGTGCAAACTAAGCGTGACAGTGGCAAGGGAACAACTTTGCATGAGGAAGAAACCTTGAGAGGAACCAGCACTCAAAGGAGAATAATAGTCAGTTTCATCTTGACTACTTTTTCGAAATTGAAAATTATATTGCAAACACACCCCTTAGTCTCCCTCAAGAGTCGTTACGTTTTGCACCCACCCATGTTCAAATGGCTGGGAGGCCCATAGTGAACAACCATGACCCAAACATTCTTTTCCTCAAATAACATTTCTCCTTTGCCAAAATTATAAACTTCATATAAATTAAAATTGATAAGCCTTTTTAAAGGGCACGTGTCCTACACTTTTCTTAAATCTTATCTTAGGTTTGTGTAGGCTTATGAACCAAAAACAGTCGTCATTAATTTAGCTTTATCCTGTAGAATTAAACAGGCAGTGCTTTTAAGGCTGATATATGTAAATGAAGCTCTTCTCTGATTGGCTGCTGTGTATTGTGCCTCATTTTTAAAAAAGCAGCCTGGGCTGAAACACCCCTTATAACTATAACAGACAGATGTACGAAAATGGGTTTGTTTTCATGACCTCACAGAAACAGTAAATGCAGAACACAATGTTTTGCAGTTTAGTTTCCATAAATGGACTGTATGGACTGGGAGTAAGTAGTATGCTTTGAAACCTTGGCTGCATTTATACACAACATCAAACTTTTATGTCAAAAAATTGAGGAAAAATCATGTTTCAATTATATGGGCCTTTCTGTGTGTTCTGATTTATTATTCTGAAGGCTAGGCACGGATGCCGGTGTCTTCATTCATTCATTTATTTATTTATTTGCTAGTCAGTTTTGCTGATTTGTGCCAAAATCACAGTCTGGGTCACTCATCTTTGAGGAAGTAATAATGGTGTAGCATCCAGTATCGTATTGTGGAACTGACTTAACAGAACAGAAGTTGTCTGACTTGGCTTCCTTCCCCTGGCCTTCCGGAGGTGAAAAGCCAGACTGTTTCGACTCTGTCTTCTAGTCACTCTCAAAGGATTGTCCTTAAGTTGGTCTGCCAGCTTTGATCCTGGCCATGACCCATCATACTTTCCTCGGCTAACACTAAAGCGTATGTGTGGGTCCACTCGGCCTCCTATCTACAAAGAGAAAAATGGTTACTAGTCGTAGGCCCAGGGTCATCATAGAGCTAAACAGCTGAAATGAGCTTTGAGACAGGACGTAAGATTGCACTGAATGGGAGGAAAGGGTCCTCTACTACTTAAAGAGCCCTTGGAATAGCCATGGGAACAGTTGGAAAGCACTTTATTTGAGCCCTTTTGCGCTGCTATTTCAGCGTTTTTGCGTAATTGATGTGAACCATACAAACAGTACGCAGACTTAAGTCTTAGGTCATCTAAATAAATCAATAGCCTATAGCCTGGCACTGTGTAGAAAATTGATTGCCTAGTGGTACTTTGTGACCTGATGTTTCACAATTCAGTCTTTTCTAAAAGTTTGCTCAAATGGCAAATTCCAGTTGATTGAAGTGTGTGTGTGTGTGTATATATATATATATATATATATATATATATATATATATATATATATATATATATATATATATATATATATATATATATTTTGGGATTTCATGATGCATTGAATTGTTTTCCAAAGAATAATAATCAAAACACTGTGAGGGTAAAAATTAACTTTTGGTTGGTTGTTTTTTTTGTTTTTTCTTTAAATGTTTTTAAACCCATTTCTTCAATGTGTTTTGCTCTTATGTCTGCAGAGCACAAAGTCATCATTGTGGGTCTTGACAATGCAGGAAAGACCACCATTCTTTACCAGTTGTAAGTAATGTCTGCTTTATGAATTGTGTAGTTTGCTCTCATTGTTCAGTTCCTGAAGAGTGAACCTTCTTTATTTAAGTGCTTCTGTTTTTTTTTATGCAGCTTAATGAAGGAGGTTGTACACACGTCTCCAACGATCGGCAGCAATGTTGAAGAGATTGTGGTGAAAAACACACACTTCTTAATGTGGGACATCGGTGGCCAGGAGAGTCTTCGCTCATCTTGGAACACCTACTACTCCAACACTGAGGTACACATTTCAAAATTGCTCTCCAGCAACATTATAATGTTATCTACCCAATTTAGACTGATCATAGAGACCCTGTAAACAACAGCAACGATAAATTACCTCACATATATTTGATTGGATGTCATCCCTTTATGCCATTGTCTAATGCTGCATTGATTCGATACTTTGAAACGGATCATCACCGATACTGACCTTAATAAACAAATCGGATATTGGTCAGATGTGTCCGGTACACAGTCGTTACAGTTTCTTCATATTTTTGCATTATCAATTTCATCTAGGCCTAAAAGTTATAAAAAGTCATCAAGATGACAGCATAAATAAAATTAGAATAATGTGGTTAAATATGAAATGAATAATAAGGGTACCTCGTTTTAAAAATCCTCAATTTAAACGTCAGCTAACAAGACAGCAACAAACATCTGCAATAGGGAGGTATTTTATGCTTGATACAACTGCTAGTAGCACAGCCACTTTATTAGTAATATTTGCACCTTTACCTCCCATGTAGGGAGTTGTTGTCTGAGGTAAGTTTGTTGTCAAAGGAGCAGACATTAGAATGTAATGAGTTAAAGAGTTAAAGGGGGAAAAGAGAGTGGCAGAAAAGCCAGTCTCTTGGGGTTAACCATTGGCCTAGCATTGAACTAGTCGGCTGATGGTGCGCACCCCTCGCTCAGCCTGCTGCTTCATACAACTCTGAGTTCTCAGGCTCCAAGCCGAGAAGCTCTGCAGCTTCTCGGTTAATACTAAGAGCTTGAATGGCTTGTAATATTTACCAAATTCCAGAAGCGTCTGATGACCGTAGATCAAAGTTACTGTGATATAAACTGTCAGAAATCTTAATTATACTGTGATGTACATTTTTGGCCATACCACCCTCTACTATCTCAAACCAAATAGTTTTTATGTTATTAAAACATTTACATAGTGATTTCAAGTTGATGAACAACAGAGTACAACTGACTATGCTACAAAAAAAATGTGTTAAAGTGCTTTCACTGGGTGTGAGTTCAACAAAAGCTAACCTGGATGGCACTGGTGTGGGTTTGTGTGGGTTTGTATGTGTGCTAAGCCTAGCTGTGGCTCTCTTGTTACATTGATGAATGGTGTGAACAGCAGTCCATCATCCGAAGCCCAGCTGGTGTGTGCATGTTGGGCTTAGGGGTCAAAGTTCAGGGGCTGACAAAGAGGACTAAAAGGGGAGGTCACAGCCATTCAGTCCGAAAAAACAAGTGTGCGCGGGTGCGGCGGTGGGGGGCGGTTACTGAATACTGTTCCAAACCGCTGCAATCTGTTCAACACGCATTCATTCCCACATGCTCGTGCTTGCATGCAAGGACACGCAGTGCCGCTCACAATGTGCACTTTCCAGCAGTGCTATTGTTTGATGCTTTTTTCAGAGAGGTAGCTGTAATATGACCTGTTGAATGTTTTGTGTGTGTGTGTGTGTGTGTGTGTGTGTGTGTGTGTGTGTGTGTGTGTGTGTGTGTGTGTGTGTGTGTGCGCGCTTGTCTTTGCTGTAGTTCATCATCCTGGTAGTGGACAGTACAGACAGAGAAAGGCTCGCTATCTCTAAGGAGGAGCTGTACAGAATGCTGGCCCATGAGGTAAAGCCTTGTTTACACCACACACACTCAACTCTTTATTTTCCTAAGCCCGCATAAAGATACAAAAGCTTCATTCATCTCAACCTTTACTGCCCACCATTTAGCTCTGTTCAAATCAGTATGGCTAAACCAAGGTAAAATGTGCAATTGTCAAAGGAATGAAAAAATCAACTTTACACAATTTTCCACTCCCCACCGATGTAGCTGAGCAGCCAAGACATGTTTGTGTTCAAATTTTGCTTCTTTACTTTAGCGCTGGAGCTATGAGGCTAAAATTGTGATTTATTAAGATTAATTACATCACAGTATGCTTTTCTGAACATGTCTTGGATATCAGGAGTACCTTAAACATTTGTAATTACAAAGAGAGCATAATAAGGCCTATTTAATTAAATCTGTTTCAGTGTATGATGTGAAATGTTGATTAAAAATAGTTGTATCAAACTTAATCCAGTTTATCCAACCTCAGAAAAACTAAATATCATGATGTATATTGTGTATTGTTAAAATGTCTCAAAGTATCATGATGTATTTAAGACAACAGGTGTCGTGCCAAATTCCAACTCATCTGCAGGGGTGAAGTTTTCATTTCCATAGTTCACAGTACGTCATATTGTCCCCTAAGCCTCATAGACAGGTCACCTTAATGAAGACCTGGATGCTGTTGGACAGGGTTGAGTGAAGTTTTGTTCAGGTCGTATTTAGAGGAAACATTTGGGTGACTATTGAATTCAGGTGTTTGTTAGCAACGTTAGCCTCCATATCTCCAGCGCTAAACTAAAGAAGGATAATTTGGACACCAAACATGTATTGGCTGATCAGCTATATCTGATGAAATGGTAAATTGTGTAAATCTGATTTTTCACCAAACCATTCCTTTAAATTGTTAGGAACTACTAACAAACCAAATCCATCAGATTGTAACCTACTTTATTGGAAAGACAAACTAGAAAGCATTTTAAAAGAAAAAAAACACTTTTTGGCCAAGTATCAATGTAAATGTGTATGTTTATCAGACTTTTACTGTCAGAGAGACCATTAGAAGAGTTTATAACTTACACAATCATGCAGACTGTAAACATTTTAATTGACTTTTGAAGTAATCCTGACAGTCCAGGTGATCTCAGTAAAGAATGTTGTGAGGCTGCTGTGTGTTGCCTGAGTTCAGGTTGCTGTCTAGAAACCTAATGAGAGTACAGTCTTATACCTTTTTAGCTTCTTACGGTCTTTGGCTTTGCCAAAAAGTTTAGCATTCACAGAATGCAGAAACAAAGAAGTGGTGGTGTGAAGTGTGAAGAATGCTGATTGTAAAAGAGAAACAGCTGCAAGTCCCACTTTAATGAGAAAAATGCAGAAGTGGGAGCAGTTTCTGCTGCCGTGCTAAGAAGTTGTAGCCTTTCTAATCTGAATTTGTTCCTTGTGTGCTTTTGGAACTTATTGCTAAAAATAGATGTTCATTCTGCCTTATTCATCTAAAGTAGTGCTCCCCAGTCTTTGTCCTGGAGGACTGCTGCTGCTGAGTCAGATGTTAGATCAGGAGAGCAAATAAAACAGATACTTCAAGACCAAGATTGGGAAACACTGGTTTAAATGTTCAAAAGGTTAATGTTTGACTTGCATACATTTATGTTAATGCAGTGTGATTGATGAAACTTTTTCTTTATTTTTTTTTTTATTTGTTTTTCAGTTGAATTATATTTAAAGTTTTTATTTTAAAATTGAGCAAATGCATGATATTTCCAGAGTCAGTGAGTAATGTTAAATAATAGTAATCTAAATATTGACCAAAATAATTGATTTATAATTTATGCCCATAAATGAGCAGCCCTAAGTTGTGTATACTGTAACAATTCATTCGAAAACTCTACACAAACATGCTGAGCTCATTTCTTTCTTTGCTTTCTTTATTTATTTCTCTCAGGACCTCCGAAAAGCAGCTGTGTTGATTTTTGCCAATAAGCAGGATATGAAGGGCTGTATGTCTGCAGCAGAAATCTCCAAGTACCTGACACTCAGCTCCATCAAAGACCACCCATGGCACATTCAGTCCTGCTGCGCACTTACAGGAGAAGGGTGAGACACACGCACAGTCACTTACTCTCACACCTAGTCTTAAAGGGAAACTTCACAGATTTTTCAAAATTTCTGCCTAATGTGTCTTCTAAGTTTTGTATGTAATGTTGATGCATAATATTGATTGTAAAGTAAATCTGGAAAAACATATTTTGCCTTACAACACCCTCCATGTACATCTCCACCAGGAGTGGGGTTAAAAGGGATGTTTTAGGTTAAAACTTTATCTCAGAACTGTCATAAAATAATGTCCCTGCTTCAGGCATTCAGCGTATAACCATTTTGTTTAATAACTTACTGTGAGGCAGCTTTTAGAGGCATTCCTTGGACGTCTAGTTCCTGTCACCACAAAGTTTCTCCAGAATAGTGCATTTCATGCTGAAATGTTGAAAATTGGTGGAATTATGCTTTTAAAAGAATAACTTGACAAAAAGTTGCTCTGTTTTCCCCCCTAAACCAAATGTAGTAGATCAGCCAAGACATATGTAGTGTCTGATGCTTCCTTCTTTAGTTTTGCACAGGACCTATGGGACTAATGTCACTAGCAAGTAATGAAAGCTCTGACACCGTATGAGGTACTGCTATTGGACAACATATATGAAAGTTGAGTTGGCTCAATACTAATGGTTGGGTATTACTTGTTAGCTATATTAGCCTTGTAGCTGCAGTCTTGGCTGATCAACTACATTAAAGAGAAAATTGTAGTGATGCGCTGATTCGCTACATACATCGCTTTAGTAAATGGATCAGATGTTGGCTGGACATGACAGATCCACTGTCATTACTGTTTGTTAGACACAGTTGGACTAAGGTGGTAAAATGTCATTTCAAACCATGATACACATCAAATTTTCACTTTGTGTATTTTTAAATTAATTTCAGTTAATAAGTAGGAAAGATCATATTACAGGGAAACTCGCTTGTTTAAGACAACAAGTGTTCCTTGCAAATGTGCCATGAGCTGTGATTTTCTCAAAGTGCTGCAGCTTGTCAAAATAAAAGTCCCTCTCAACAAATTATAACAGCTCTCAGCAAGCTCTCTGCTTCTGTTGTGTTTCATAAATATTTCAGACTTTTACATTTTTTGTCAATGTGATGTACGTGGTCACAGTTTTGGGTGATTTTGTGATAATAAAATGATAGTTAAGATGTCCACAGTGATCAAATTAGTCTTTGTAGTCATGAAATAAATTAAGTATATGGGTAAATTTTAAATACTTGACCGTGTGCCTCATGCTAAAATCTTGCAGATTTATTAAAATAGATGTACTCTTCAATTGTAACAACACATTTGGAGTATTATATATTATTTATGGAGTATTATATATTATTATTTAGTGCCATCAAATTGATTCTGACTGTTGACGACATGGATGTTGTTTGTCCAGAATATTCTTCTCTTTGGGTCTTCAGGCTTCTAAATGGCTTGTTCACGATATCTTTGATTTTGTCCATTGATCTTGTTGCTGACAGATGTCTTCCTTTTTTTTACCTTCAATGGTTCCAAGCATACTTGTCTTTTCTAGTGAATTGGTTCTTCACATAGTATGTCTAAAGGCAGATTTTAAAATGTCAAAGAAGAAAATATCAGAAGTGTACTCTGTATCAGGTGATATAATGAGTTTTGGTAATGGGAATTGGTTTCGAGAAAGAAAGTCTGAGTAAATGTCTTTTTTTGCCTAAACTATTGCTTTAACATTCATTGAACTACTTGTACTAATTGCTTTCATTTTAATTTCAGGCTTTGCCAGGGCTTGGAGTGGATGACCTCAAGGGTGGGCCTCAGATAGCCTCCAACTTCTGTTCAGGACTGACTTACTGACAGCCTTTACCACCAGCTCTGGTGGCACCTCAGCCTCACCCTTCTGGCTGCTTTTTTTTTTTCCCCCCAATTTTAACTCATGATCAACGTTCACTTCTGCGGTTGACCTCTCTGGACACCTACCTCAGCTTGGAACGACCGGCTGATTGGTTGATTGGTTTGATGGACTACTTGGCTTGACCAATCCCGTTTCAGGATCAGCTTAACTATGCCTCTGAAAGAAGGGAGTATACAGCATCTGAAGTATTACTGCTCACAGAGAGGCATGAGTGTCAGTCAATCTGGTTTGGAATAGAAGTTCTCTACTATGATTTAGGAACAACAGAACAGTTGGGTTTTCTGGTGTATTTTATTGGGCAGAACACTTTAATGGATGCACATGTTTGCCTAGTGGAGAAATTAATTACACCTTAATTTTTTTTTATTATTATTTTTTTTAAGGTCAGATCATGGGTCATGAAAGTCTTTTTATGTTTTAGGGGAAGCTTGTGTGGGGTGTCTAATGCACCCAGAAACACCACTACATATCATGAACATTTCGAAGCATATCGGAACATGCGTTACATATCATGTAGTATTACCTCAGTCCCCCAAACTAAGAAGACTGTGCCGCACAGAATAAAAAGACCCTGTCATTTCAGCCTGCCTGTTTCATGACCATTGAAATGTGGGAACTTGTTTGGCTGTTGATAGGGACTCATTTATTTAATGATATAGAAATTTAAGGTTTTGAAAAATAGGATGAGAAGTGGCCACCATGTGTTTTTCTCGTCACATAATATGAGCCAGTTTTCTAGAGTTTTCATAAGACGACAATAGTCATACGTACTTCATGGTGCTAAGGGAGTTCTGGTGGGAGGATTCTAGGTACCAAGTGTGATTTAGTCCATGTCCTTTGCCTTGTAATCCACCTGGATATGATTTGTTATATTGTGGTCACTTTAAAGCAGAGATCACCAGTCCTCTCCACAAGGGCTTGTATGGCTGCAGGGCTTCATTCCAACCAAGCAGGAGCTTCTGTCATTTAACAGATCTGTTGTTGAAGACTGAGACCAACTGATTAAACAAGTGGAATCAGGGTTCTGTCTCACGAAGCAGGTCCAGCACAGAGACAGCACCTGACTGAAGTTCCAGTGTCACAAAGCCCAAAAAAAGCAGAACTACAGTTAACTTGTTTCACAGTGACTGTTAATCCAGGTTTACATACTCAAGCTGTAGTTGCACATGAAAGCATGATGTTTATGATGATAAGCCAGTCACATGAAACATGAGGAGGAGTCGAGTGTTTTTTTTTGCTTTTTTTTTATTTTTTAGAAAGGGGTAAAAAAAAAAATATCATAAATGTGTAGAAAATTTATAACCATTAAAATGCAATGCTGTCTCCACTGCCACTGCATCAGTGCTTATTGGTTTCGTAATTGCTTTGTATTTTTAACATCTGTATATTTTTTCATGTGATTGACACCATAAATGTCACGAATGAGGGGAAAAATCACCAGAGGAGTCCACCTGCAACATGCCTCATTGGTCAGAGGCTCGCTCTGATTGGTCCAAAAGCTGTCTATAATCTAAAATCCTAAACTTAACCTGCCCTGGAACAGGTTAGGTGTGGAGTGTTTGTTGCCATGGTGATGTGATGTATCCTGCTAAAAAAAATTACCCCCTTTGTGAGCCGGAAAATGCAGGGTTAGATCGAACTACTCTTAAAGTTAACTGGCTAAGCAAGAAACCTGCAGCCACACTGTCCCATCACTGATAAGACTGACCCCTCCTTTGAAGTTAAAAGGATGTGGAAAACTGGTTCATATTATGTGTTCCTTGGCTTTTAGTGAGTATGATACATGGATTAACTTGAAATTCCTGATCTACCTTGTTGCTAGCTGTTGCTCCATTGTTACATTTCAGGTACTGGTTCAAGATTTAGGATCATTACTGACTTCAGAGGAAATGCTATCTCTAAAGAACAGGCAGCGTGACAAGGTGTAGCATTTACTGTGTAATTTAAAACATAACAGCAGTTGCTGAGGACCTGACACCTTTTTTTTTTTGTTTTTTTTGTTTTTTTTTTTGGTGCTTGTGTGTGCGATCATGAACATTTGTGCTGCTTATATTAGCCTGCTCACTGTTCTGTTTGGAGGCAGATGGCCTTTGTTTGATGCAGATGGAAATGTGCTTTTGTGTGGATATGATGAGTAAATTGTGGTCATCCCCACCCCATGGCTCTGGCACAGGAAATGACCAATATTAAGGTCACTTAGTTACCATGGCAATGTCATGTTTAGAAACTATGATGTGAAGCTCAATTTTCTACAAGCTGTGCTTCAAGAGTTGTTTTTTTTTTTTCATCATGTGTTGTTTTAGCCTGTTCATGCATACATCATGTCAGATCAACCATCTGCAGCAGAATGCTTTTGTTTGGAGAGGCATGTGCATATGAGTGTTCATATGTGTGCATGTGTCCATATCTCAAACTTGTCTGAGTGAGTTTTCAGTATTGTGTTCAGTCTTACAAACAGCTTTAAATTTGACTAAACATCTGCTCCAATTAGGGGGCTGTTGAAGACCCTGAAACCCTGACCCTGATGTCCTCTGTGCTTTTAGAAAAGATGGCTCTTTAGTAAATGGAATGGTTCTGTTAAGAACCGTGAGTTCTATGTAGAACCATTTCATGCTTAAATGGTTCTTTGCATGGTGAAACAGTTCTTCAGATTGATGGGAGAATGTGTTGTATATGGTTCTAATATAGAATCTTTTTTAATCTTTTTGTGGTGCTACGTAGAACCATTTTCAAAAAAGCTCTATGTAAGATGCACTTCACCGTGCCAAGAACCACTGAAGCATGAAATAGTTCTCAATACTTGTGGTTCTAAATAGAATCATTTCGGTTACTAAAGAACCCTTATCAAACCATCTTTTTCAAGCATGCATGACTTCAAAGGAATTGCTGTATAGTTGCAAAGTATCAATATATGAATTGATCAGACACACACTTTGGCTCAAGTGAAGCTGAAAAAGACTATTCAATCTTACCCACGTAGAGCTGAACAGTTTGGGGAATATGTGTGGTTTCTCAGCAATATTGCAATTTAAATGCAATTTAAATCTCCAGGCCCTATTTTGCCAAGAAGACTAGCACATCCATTTTTTCCAGCTTAAAGCTTGAATATAAGTTCTGCATTATTATGTTAAATTTCCCACATAAAACCTAAGACAACTTTTAATAATGCAAGGTAATCAAAAATTACAACTCTTGACATTTGAAAATTGCGCTCTTTCAGATTGCATTTGTGATATAAATGATTAATCATTCAGCTCTACGCCCAACTGCCACAAATTGGGCAGCTGGCTTTTAAAACCCAGCCCATTCTTTGTAAATGAGTTCGCAAGTATATGTAACTGTTGTTAACCTAATCTGAGTGAGCAGCGGTGCTCATTCTTCTTTGTTTAACCACCAAACACTACACACCTGGAGTCAGTGAAGGTTTTACCTCACTGTCTTTAAATGGTGGTTTAATCACAAGAATGTGGGATTATTTTGTGTGTATGAGTGTGCAAGGACTTTGTTTTTGTTTTTTTTTGGTCTGTATGGATTGCGAGGGAAGCCTGGTATCTTTCTGCAAAGGGTCAAAGTTCACTAAGTGGACTGTTGAGTTATGGCACAGATGATTTTATCTGTGGTTCCATTGATCCCTCATTTCAAAGGTCAGCCCATTCAATAAGCTCTCAAATGTGCCATTTCAACGTGAGCAGAAGTATGTACCGACTTTCGTAATTCTGTAATTTTATAATAAATGCTTTTATTTTGAAAGTCTGTTCTGTACTTTTGTAATTAGTATTTGATTAATTATTATTATAACAGTATTTAGTGTGTTCACCCTTTGCCTTTCATACAGTATCCTTTCAGTTTTTCAAAGAAAGGGGGATGTTTTTTGAACTGTTAAGTTCAGTCTTAAAAGCTGGTTACATTTTCTGCTTCTTACGATCAGAATAATTCTAGACACATTCAGTGATGTGGTCTGGACTCTGGGGTAGATCGTCCATTGATAGGACAACAGAAATTCTTTATATAAATTTAACTCCAGATTTGGGGACTTTTTTTCACTTATTTTTCTTTGATTTGGCTTTCCCTTCCTTATGCAAGTATTTTATATCTAATCTCCTTTTTTAAAACTTCTCAGTGGATTTTAGAAAGACAGCAGCCTGAATGTTCCTCTTACGTGGTTTGGATAGTTTGCAACCAACAAATACAACTGACAAAAACTACTGAGCATATGTGGCTGAGTAGGGAGACAAAGCAAAACGTACCCTCTTCTTTTTCTTTCTCTATGTTGGGTTGATCTCAAACCCTTTTGGCCACACACAGCACATGACACAGCAGGGTTTCACACTGATTTCAGCCTTAGCCTGCAGCTCTGCGGTGCCTCTGCTGCGTGTTCTGCAGACGGGATGTTTATTTATCTCCGTCCCTCGTGTGTTTTCTCTGTTCCATCACAAATAAACCATGAGCTGCCAACAATTAAAGCTGCTTCCACAGCTGAACATGCCTACAGAAACTGGGTACTAGACAATACTGCTGAAAGTGAGTCAAATGTGCCAGAAGTCCAGAGAACTCTGACCCAGTGTTCTCCAACAAAGACCAATAATAACTGATTGATTAGAGCAAGAACAGGTTAACCAAATGAGTTAGTGTGACTAGGGGAGAACATTTTAGATGGTGTAAATGGAGGTTAACATTCTAGAACAATACCAAAGGTGGAGAACATTTATACGACAATTTGAACAAAGGGAGAACACTCTAGAACAGTGCCAAAGTAGGAAATGACATTTTAGAACGGTGCAAACAGAAGAAGGACATTCTAGAATAGTGTAAATGAGGCAAGAACTTTCTAGAACCGTGCCAAAGGGGAAATTATGTTTTAGAACTGTGCAAACAGGAGGAGAACTTTCTAGAACAGTGTGAATGAAAAGAGCATTTTAGAATAGTGCAGAAGGGGAAATGACATTCTAGAAGGACAAAGAGGGACATTTTACACTCTTAAAGAGAGATGGTTCTTCAAGGTTTATTTAGTAAAAACTGGTTCTATATAAAGCTATAAACACTAAAGAACCATTTGTATGCTTAAAGGATTCTTTGCATGGTGAAAAGTTTCTTTAGATTGATGAATCTGTTGTATATGGTTCTACATAGCATCAAAAGGATTGTACTATCGTTACAAGCTTGGCATCTTAACAATAGCAGAACCCTTTTTGATGCTAGAACCATTTAAAAAAAATGTTCTATCTAGAACCACATACAACACATTCTTCATCAATCCGAAGAACAATTTAATGCAAAGAACCCTTTAAGCATAGAAATGGTTCTTTGAGTGTTTATGGTTCTATATAGAGCCATTGTCTTTACTTAAGAACCTTTGAAGAACCATCTTTTTTTAGAGTGTAGAGCAGTGTAATTACCGGAGCACTTTAGGGGACAGCATTTTTGGACCGTGCCAATAGGGGAGTGGCATTCCAGAACAGTGCAAACATATGAGAACATTCTAGAACAGTGTCAAAGGGGTAAGGGCACTGTAGAAAAGGGTGAATGATGAGACAACATTCTAGAACAGTGCCAAAGGGGGAGAGCATTCTAGAACAATGTCAAAGAGGAAAGGACATTCTAGAATGGTGTGAATGTGAGGAGAACATTCTAGAACAGTGCCAAAGAGGAGAGAACATTCTAGAACAGTGAATGGAGAGAGAACATTCTAGAATAGTGCCAAAGGGGGAGGACATTCTAGAACAGTGTGAATGGAGGGAGAACATTCTAGAACAGTGCCAAAGCAGGAATGACATTGTACAATACAGTGGTAATGGCAGTGGGGCTGGGAAGCCTGGTGTAGAGTGTTAGAGTGTGCTTATACCATTAAGGCAGCCCTTTGAAGTAATAAGATTTGTTATAAGCTCTTTCTGCAGCAGTTTGAAGTTGGAGAAGAGAATTTGGATGCAGGCGCAAGTTTAGTAGAGAGTTTGTTGTAATTCAGTCACAGTTCATCCACTGACCTTTAGAGAGTTTCCAATAAAACCCTGGAGCTTTCACTATTAGGATGCAGGTTGTGTCAACAGTAGAAATGGCCTTCCCCAAAATCCATACCAGTTAATGACCATGTGACCTCCTTCCACCGTGCTGTAAGGCAGTTGTTCAGGGTGAAAAGTCTGTTCAAGGTTTCTTTCTTACAGTAGACAGAACTCTGCTACATAATTTATCCTGAAGGTTCCATCATTTTACGAGGCCTTCTAGGACTACACTTAAATCAGTACGATCACTCTTTTTTGGGCAGCTGGCTCAACTTTACTGCACTAGACAGAAGTCAGAGCTACCAAACAGCTGGAATACAGTTGGACTCGTGTGAATGAACACATAAGGCTTAGAATGCTTTAAGCCCTCAACCAGAGCTAAAGCCATGGCTCTAGGAGTGTTCCTGCTCCTGATGACCTGAGTCTGAAGTGTGCTTCATTCTACACAAACCTACCTGAAGCTCTGGGAAATCAGCAGCTTCCATGTGAGCAACCCAGTCAATGCATCACTACTGACAAATCCAGTAAATGCCATAAAAATGAGTGCCATGCCAACATATTGTCATATCTTGTTGCTATGGGTATGAAAATGCATCAGTGTATTGATCTGATGGTGGTGATTTAACTGCATACACTGCACCTATAATCCCCTAAGCCAAACATTATTATTTAGATATTAAGTTAATATTAAGATTTATTTTTCAGTAACTAATGTAATGTAAATTGAATAACTACTATAAATGATTCAGTAACTACAATAAAATATTCTGTAACTACTATGAATTATTCAGTATTTATGATAAATTATTCAGTAACTACCATCATTTATTTGGTAACTACTATAAAATATTTGGTAATTACCATGAATTATTCAGAAACTACAATGAGTTATTCAATAACTGCTATGAAATATTCACTAATTACTATAAATTATTCATTAAGTACTATAAATATTTCAGTGGCTACTATGAATTACTCATTAACTTCCATAAGTTATTTAGTAACTGCTATAAATGATTGCGTAAATTCCATAAATTATTTGGTAACTACTTTGAAATATTCAGGAACCACTATGAATTATTTAGTAACTACTATAAATTGTTCAATAAATGCTATAGATTAGTCAATAATGAATATACAGAGCCTTAGGATTTAAGGCTTTAAGGATTTAAGGATTTAAGGGGTTAAAATGCTCTAAGATTTTATTCCTTTTATTCATAATCATTAGAGGAAAGGACAGGAGGCAGTGCTGGAGTCATCTTGGAGACTAAACAAATGAAGATGAATGAAGGCGTCCTGATGTGAGTATTAAGGCTCACTGTGCTGGTTTTCCCCTCTCGGAAGAGAGCTTTTAGCTTTTCTTTCAGCATGTCAACTGAACTTGAGGCTATATCGCAGTGTGGCAAATAGAACGATCCCCCCTCTCTCTCTCTCTCTTTCTCTTTCTCTCTGTCTCTCTCTCTCTCTCTCTCTCTCTCTCCCTCTCCCTCTCCCTCTTTCTCTTTGCTTGAAGTGACAGTACGAAAAAGATTTCTGAGAATTTGTGTCATGACTGTCATTTAATCTGTGTGTTTACCAGAGACAGACAGAAATAGTGTCTGACATGCTGAAGGCCTATTCATTTCTGCATTTACTTGTGTGTGTTCGCACAGTGCTCTCTCTAAGTAATAACACACTATTGGAATATGAGGCATCTTTGTTTCTCCTTAATGAATATTGATGGAGGTTAATGTTTAGGGTAAATGCTGAAAATGCAGGCAGAGACAAGTAATTGTCTTCTTTGCTTTCACAGTCTTTTGCTGTCTGTAATCCAAACCACATTTTTCACATGTGAGTGTTTGAACTGGCTTTATTTCTCCTGCGCTGTCTGAGTCTGCCGTCCAAAACCATCATGCTGAGAGATCATCAAAGGCAGAAAACCCTGCGTCACTTT